GTGGCTGTCACGTGATGAACGAACGACTCGGAAAACCCCGAAGACTCGAAACAGGTGAACTACTTGATTAATTCCAGTACAGAACCTATATGATGCTGCGCATGCGCGACTGAATGAATCACTCGCCGAGACGACTCGTTCCTCCCGAGTCACGTTAAAGATTTGTTCAAAATGAACGATTCGTTCAAGAACGACCCAACACTACTAAACTACATTTGTTCATCATTTCGTAACAGTTTACAATGTTTTACTAGTTTGCAGTCGTCGCTGACTGAATGATTGCATTTGCAGACATTCAGCACACTTAACTTACTTTGATTTCAGTTCGTTGTGCTGTAGTTTGCAATGCTTTAAATCTATGTCTGTTGTTAGTTGTTATCATTTGAGTACAACAGCTGAAATAAACTTGTATTTGTGGACTAATCGTTTTTCATCTATCCTGGTGTGATTGTTCTTAAACTGTTAGACTTTATTTACAAAATGAACAGGAATCTAAGACCACACACACAAGCATGGAAGTGTTCCTTTAATAAATAAAATTTTGGTTTAAACAAAATTGTATGGACAAAAGTTTAAAAAGTAGCCTACATTTGGCACACTGTAAATGAGAAAACGAATACTTCACTGCATTTTATGGAATGGAATAAGAAACTAATTTCATGTTAAAAAATAATTTTATTAACAAATGTTCATAAGTGTGCTTGTTTTGATATGATATATACAATATTGTTCTAAGGATTTGTATTAGTAAGGTTCTTTGTTCATGTTCACCAACTGCATCAGATTAAAAATATTAAAAAACATTAACATTGTGAAATAATTTTACAATTTAAAATAAAGTTTTTCCCCCTGTGATGTCAGATCTCAACTTCTCCTCTTCAGTGTCTCATGATCATTCAGAAATCATTCTAATTATGATTTGCTGCACAAGAAACATTTATGATTATTATCACAGTTGAAAATGGTTGTACTGCTTAATGAAGTGTGGAAACCATTATACAGCGACAAGATTCCTTGATGAATGGAAAGTTTAGAAGAACAGCATTTATTTGAAATAGAAATCTTTTTTTTACCTTATAAATGTCTTTACTGTCATTTTTATTAAATTAATGCATCATTGAAGAACAAAAATATAAATTTCTTAAAAAGAAAAAGAAATCATAGTAATCCCAAACTTTTGAATGGTAATGTCCTGTATCAAATGGGATTTTGAGTGTGAATCACTATTGAATTCATATTTTTAAAAACAAAATGTCACTGTCTCACATAACATCAACATCCACACCAACACACATTTTACCAACATCTTATCACAAGCTAATCAAGGCCACAATCCAATCTTTATTCCATTTTATTTTTTATAATAAGAGGCCTATTTTTATTTATTTATTTATGTAGTCATTTAGCAGACGCTTTACACATACATACACATGACAAAAAAGAAAACAAGTAGATAGAATAGAAAAAAAATAGAGAAAGCTAGTGTTAAGAGGCCTTTTTTTAAAGAAAACAAGCAGTTGGAAAATGAATAGAGAGTGCAAGTGTTAAAGGGTCAAGTCAACAAATAGATGGAATAGAATTACAATAGAGAGTGCTAGAGTTAGACGGTCAAATATAGATGGAAGAGATGTGTTTTTAGCTGTTTCTTGAAGATGGCTAAGGACTCAGCTGCTCGAATTGAGTTGGGCAGGCCATTCTACCAGGAGGGGACAGTTTATGAATATATATATATATATATATAAAGCCTAATTAAGAGTATATATATGTTTGTGAAACTTTATGACAAAGCCTATAAATAATGTTGCATGAGTGTTTGTCGTGCATCAAAATAGACCATGCATTTGTATCAATGATCATCGTGTATCATCCAGGTACAGTCAGTGCAACACATGGTCAAAGAACAGATGACACAGAATAACATCAGTGTAGGTTGCAAAATGTTTATTAGGCCACTTATATGGTGGTGAATATTATTTCATTCATTGCCAGAAGATGACCGTTTTAAAACTTAAAAGGTAACAGAAGAGCATAAAAATAAATAATTGAAATGGTAGTTGGATCTGTGCTACTATTGGAAACCTGTGTAGCTGTAATCATCCAGGCGTTCTGGGATTTTTGGTTTCACTGTGCAAATGGAACCTTAAACCTTGTGATAATCTTAATTTGTAAATTTACATTTGTTTGTAAAAATGTTTAACTATTTTACATTGGAAAAAGAAAAAAATATGTTTTTGCAGCAGTGTATGATTGTATCATAGTTTACAACCAGACAGCAGACAATTCACAACCAGACAACATGGAGAACGTTGAACGGGGTAAGTTAAGACATGGATCATCACACCAGTATACAAAAAATATATATGTCCACAGATACGTTTCTATAGGTTTATTTCATTTCTTGCAGGCAGTGATGTATTCAACAAATGATAACAACTAATAACAGACACAGTTATAAAGCATCGCAAGCTAGAAATGAAGAGCACAAAGAACTAAAATCAATGTATAGGCTACAACTAGCTGAAGTTTGCTGTGCTTTATCCTAACATTACACAAAGAATGTCTGCAATCATTCAGTCAGCGACGACTGCACAAAACGTGCACTGTAAACTAATAAAAACATTGTAAACTGTTACGAAATGATGAACAAATGTAGTTTAGGCATAGGTTTGTGCAACACTACATATATTTACCTTTTTAAAAATATTCCATTAAACCTGCTGAGATACAAGGAGCATGAACTGAAATTCTCAGTTCCACACGCATGTCCGAGAAACTCATGAATATTCATGTATGCTCCGCCCACTGAAACCGAAAATCAAGGAAACCAAAAATCTCATAACACTGGCGACTCTCCACCAAATTCGGGGGATCGCTTCAGCTCGAGGAGCCCTCTCGAACGCCATCCTCCGCTCGTGCGTCGTTAGCCTCCCGGGATCGCTTGATCGGTGGGCTCCGGACCGCGAAGACAAGCGACAACGGTGTACCAGCTCTAATGCCATGGCGAAAGTTTGAGCAAAACATGCTAACTGTTCTGTCTTTGGCTGCACAGATGAGCACAGAACAATACTTAAGAGTCCCAGCCTCAGAGGAGACAAGAGAGCAGTGGATTTATTGATTTATTTAGGCTACTGTATATTGCTGCTGCTGCCACACAGATCTAAAATAAACAAGCGATTTATTTCCCAGCTCTTTACCTTCACAGACATAACCGACTGTTTTTGTAACTGGTGTGTTTTTAACTTAAACAGTACTCACATGCTGCGACAGCCGCTTTCTGTCCGCGTGCTCTATTCTGGAAAAGGGGGCGGGGAGTAGCAGCTCATTTGCATTTAAAGACACAGGCCCGAAAAACAGCGTGTTTCTGCTTCCACTCAAAACAGGCATTTTCAAAATTATATAATAAATGATCTGTGGAGTATTTTGAGCTGAAACTTCACAGACACATTCTGGGGACACCAGAGACTTATATTACATATTGTAAAAAGAGGCATAATATGTCACCTTTAAGTGAACGAATCGTTCTTGTGACCGCTTTGGTTATAAATGTTTTTCTCTTAATCTTTTTTACTGTAGTGTACCTTAATAAATTCCAGTTCAAGTTGAAGGATGAGTGAAAATTTAAGGGAAAAAGATAAATTTGCTGAAAAATGATGAAAACGTTTATGATGCACACTTTGGAGTCTCAGTCGTAGGCCTATGGCCCTGTGCTAAACGGAATATAATGTGCACTTGCGGTCTTACAGACTTACAGTCCCTTACGAAAATTAACCATGGTTTTACTACAAATAAAACCAAAAAACCATGGTTACTATTGTTAAACCATAGTAACCACAAATTAACCATGGTTTTGCTACACTAATCATTTACCATTTGTAGTAAAATTGTAGTAATCAATATGCCAAAAAAACATGGTTACTACACTTTTACTACAATTAAAATAATTTTCGTAAGGGATGGCCACTGTGTGCACGTGTCCGTTAAGTCTACGAGACCGTAGGGCAGGGCTGGCCAACTTCGGAGGGCAGGTGTGTTTGATTAGGGTTGGAGCTAAACTCTGCAGGACAGTGGCCCCCCAGGACCGAAGTTGCCCAGCCCTGCCGTAGGGTGTCCCATTCATCATTTTAGCGTTCAGAAGGGAGCTCGTGAGTGTCCCCTTTGCGCCACTATGGGCACTCGATACGACTTCTGCCGAGCAGCAGACTTCTACCCGACAGTCAAAGCGGCATTACGTCACAAAAGTGCAGACTCAGAGGAAGACCGCGAGGATTTAGGGTACGATTTGGGACAGGGCCATTATCGAATTCTTGCATTGTTTCAGTCAACTCGGAGATGAATCGACTGAGTGAATGATTCAATGACGCGATCACTTGTTGCCTCCTTCCGACATAATGAATCTTTTTAGTGATTTCAATTATTCAAAAGATTTGAGTCAATGAGAATCAAAGCCATTGTTGGGTGCACTCTGCAGTGCCAAAAACCAAAATATGCTGAAGACAGGATTTAATCAAAGATTTTCTTCATAGCACATTAATGTTCAACTATTTTAATTCGCCTATTCACTGCTGCAACTGCTGAAATTTATCCACTGATCACACTCATTGGTGTGGTCACAATAAGTGACAATCAAATCAAAAGTGAATGTCTAGACTGCCATGCTCTTCAAACATGATAATATCCACTTGCAGTACTGAAGGTGAAGTGTCCCATCTACCTGTCTAATGGAGAAGGAGAGGGCGGGGATAATCAGCCCTGACCAAGACGTTTAAACTCCAGCAGGGAAGCGGGGAGGAGGATAAGGATTGTAATTTGGATTTAAGAAGATTACTTTGCAGAAGAGCTCGCTCTCCATCTGCAGTCAGCCTCACACATCCAGTGACGTTATAATGACTAAATCTTTGTTATCTTGATTCAAATCGCGAGTTGATGACCTGATTGACCGTAATGATTTCGCAGTATGGTTAATTATTCATATTTCCTGTTGTGAGCTAAATTCGCTACAGTGGATAACGAGCATTGCTGGATTGGCTTGGCCTGGATCTTTGTTGAATAGGCATTGTGAATTTTAGAGCTGAAAAGCTTAGAGGAAATGAAGACGCGACCCACAGGAAACAATTCCAACACCGACTGGATGGGCTCCCTGTGCCCTGCCCTCACATCCATGCCCCTCAAGCACCTGGCGGTTCCTGGTGAGAAAACGTATTTTCCTTTTTGACATTTAACTGAAATTAAATTAAATATTGAAGTGTGGGTAAAAGTAAAACAAGGTATTTTCCATTTATAGCTATTTAATTTTAATGCAATTATTTGTTACACTGCAAAGACAGCACAGAGTTTATTTCTCATTGTTTTCTTTTTGGGGGGCCTGTCACTAGCCCTGTTTCCATTTTTTTGCTGTATTAACAATATATTCATATTTTGATTATTCATTATTAATTGTTGTTGTTAGTAGTAGTAGTAGTAGCAGTAGTATCTATTTAATATTGATTAATAAATTGTTCATTTTAATTAAATATATAGCTATATAATACAATATATATATATATATATATATATACAAATATGCAAATGTGAAATTTATATATAAATATTAATTTATACTTATTTCATTTATATTACAGATTATATATTTCTAGATGTTATATTATTTCTATACTTTTTATATATTTATAAATATTATATAACACTAAATATATAATACATATTTTATTAATATATACATCTTAATTTTTAGACTTAAAATCCAACTATTATTAAAACAATGCAAAATGTAATAATGTAAAAAAAATTTAAAAAAATAACGACAATGATGACATAATCCTTTCAGGATGATAATTCTATATCCTTTTTGACAATTTGTCTTGTTTTTTTTAGGCTTTCATTAGAGGACAGTCTTAAATGATCAAACCTGTTCCTGTGATTTTGTATAGAAAACAATTAATTATTGAAAGCTGGATATTTCTAATAAATCTTTAATATTGTTAATAATCTAATAAACAACTTGTAGAGTCATGACATAATGGCTAGGACTATAGAACTGTCCTGAGTTCTTTGTCTTGATGCTGCCTTTATGCTTGTGCTCTAGGTTCTCATGATTCCTTCAGCTTCTGGGTGGATGAACAAGCTCCAGTCGGTCCAGACCAGAAAACGTATGTGAAGCACCTGGCTGCGATATTCCGCTTCCTGGCCAAGAAGGTGATGAAGAAGTGGTCCATGACCCAGAACCTCACCTTCAGGGAACAGCTCGAGGGAGGAATACGCTATTTCGACCTGCGTGTTTCCTCCAAACCAGGAGAACCAGGCCACGAAATATACTTTATACACGGGCTGTTTGGACACAATGTACGTGATGGCCTTAATGACATTAACAATTTTTTTAACCTACACAAGAAAGAGGTTGTTTTTTTAGACTTTAACCATCATTATGCAATGAGCGAGGAGCACCATCATTACCTAATCAAGATGCTGAAGGACGTGTTTGGTCACAAGCTCTGCAAGATTGACGTGGTGGAGGACATCACTCTGAATTATCTGTGGGAGAACAGGTACCAGGTGAGCTCTGGATGTCACCACACAATCTGATGATAATAATAATGGCTTTACGTAAAGAAGAAAATCTGAAACGTTTTTTGACGAGAAGAAAAAGCCGCAAATATCAATGGAAAGTGTTGGTGGACAGATGGTTTTAGGTCAGTGATTAATCTGCTTGATATCTAAATCTGTGAGAACTTGAGATAACAGTTAGTGCCCTTTAGATGGAGGAAAAAAGACACTCATTATGAGAGGTTGACTTTTTAACACTTTAAAACAAATCCAAGCCTTCGTCATAGCGATTAGGTGATCAGTCATACTGAAACTTATTTCAAAACAGCTGTCAAAAACCGGAAAACATAACGTTTTTCCTGTTACCAATACAAATGCTAGTTCTGTCTCACAGCATCAATACACAAACTCATACTGCACATGCAAAGCTGTTTCTGGCTAGATTCCTTTGATATCAATTAAAATATATATTTTTTTATTAATAGTTTGTTGTCAAAGAAATGTCTGTATCTGATCTGTATTTGCATCAGCACTATAAATGAGATATGGAAATAATTGGATTTTTTTGTGAGTGTTTACTTTTTACTGTAATACCAAACTTGAAGTTATGAATGTTTTGTTACCAATTTATTGTGTCCAGTTGTCAGTCCTGTGTTCCGTGTCTTGTGTTTTCCTCCCCCACGTGCTTTCCATAACCCAGTTTTCCCTCATGTGCAATTATGTTATTGCTCCCAGGTTTTTTTTTCGTCATCCCCTCGTCATGTCATGTGTATTTAAAGTGTTTCCTGTTCTGAGTCTAGTGTGCGGTATTGAATGTCGTCTTTCCCCGCTACGTGTGTGTTCCTGGTTCCCTTGATGTCAATTAAAGTCTGTTCGTTGAAAGTTTACTCCTTGTCTCCTCGTTCCTCGCTCCGCGTTCCTACACAGTAGCGATCGTGACACCAGTGTTATTTTAGTATCATTGAGATACTATTATTGCTTTTGTTAATATTTTAAATAAGTTTTTATCATAAAATATTTTTTTCCCATTTTATACTTCACATTATTGTTACAGTTTTAGTAATTTTGTTCTGTTTTTATAATTTACGTCTTTTTTGTTTGTTTATATAGTTTTATTAATTTTACAGTATTCAGTTATAGTTTTAGTTATTTTAGTACATCGAGTCAAACTAAATTAAAATGAAAAATGTCACATTGGCAACTAGCTGAAATAGATGTGCTTTTATATTTTATTTCAAGTAATGGAAATTATTTTTTGGTTTTAGTTTTAGTTTCACTTTTAGTTTGTTAACTATAATAACCCTGGCTGAATTAGTGCAGATGACTCTTTGTGTGTCTGTGGTGTGTTGCACCAGAGTTCAGCTATTCCAACTGTGTACTGAACCCTAATCACCATAGGATTAATGTCTCGCCTCCACTCCGATAGAGACAGACAAGTGTACAAATGGCAAAAACTGGACACCAACATCCCATTTGAGTACTCTATTTGTGAACACCTTCCGTTTAACAGATTCTCATGTTAGTCTTTGTGGACATAACTGATTAAGATGACATGCAAATCAACATGGTGTTCTGATTAATAACTGAAAAGGTGGTGAACCAAGTCCAAGTCATTTTTCAGAGTATTTTGAGGTTCAAATGGATTTTTACATTTTGAAAATATAAATGGTTATTAGTAAATCACAGAAAATTGAAAAGTCATGGGGCCTTTGAATATTGTTAGTAGGCAAAACTGTTGAGAAATGCTCTTTTGGCTGTTGTGGGTAGTTACTATATGGTTGCTAAGTTAAATGGTTTTACCACATTGTAAAGTGGTTTCTAGATTATTTTGAGTGGTTACTATACTGTATGCTTACTAGAACCCAACATCTACCAACCAAGTCTAATTCTTGTTCCTAAACAAGTCTCACGTGCTTATCTATGAGTAATTTTTTTGGTCTATTTTTATCGTCTAAGATAGCACACCTCTCCTTAAAGCAACAGTTTATCGTAAAATGAAAACTCATTTACAATTTAGTTGTAAATTTGTATGACTTTCTTTTTTTGTGTGGAAAATGTAAAAGAAGATTAAAAAACACACAATGGTTGCCAAAGACCAAAATGGTTACCAACATTTTTCTAAATATCATCTTTTGTGTTCAGCAGAAAAAAGAGAGTCATACATGTTTGGAATAACATGAGGATGAGTAAATGATGACAGAATGATCAGTTAAAATTTACTTTGATTGTTCACTTTAGGAATTCTGTTGATTATAAGTAATTTTAACTAACTCATCAGACTATTAGTAGAGTTTTAGTAGACTGCAAAGTTATTTATAGTCAACAGTATGTCTAAAGGGGACCATCAAAATAAAGTGTTAAAGAATTTTCATTTTTGGGTGGATCATCCGTTTAATAATTTGGATAATTCAAGGTTTTACTGTTGCTAAAATGTGTGTACTGAATTTTAATATTTCAATACGGTTTGTTCTAAATGCGCGCTACAGCAAGTATTTTGAAAGTACCACTAATAATATCATAATTAGCACCCATCATGTCAATTTAGAACAATGGCTCATTCAGTCTCTGGCATTTGTGTTTGATTTTACAGGTCATAGTGTTCTACCATCACCCATCTGCTGAGGGCTGTCCTGTGATGTGGCCTGGTAGTAAAATTCCTGCCCCATGGGCCAATACCACAGACACCACCAAGCTCATCCAATTCCTGGAGACAACTCTGAGTGAACGAGCCCAAAACGGCAGCTTTCATGTCTCTCAAGCCATTTTAACCCCACGTGTCAAGACCATCGCCAGGGGCCTGGTACAGGGGCTAAGAAACTACCTGGTGGAGAAGTGAGTATTTAAGTAAAGGAAGCTGTTTTTGTTCGTTTTGTCTTGTTTGGCTGCTGTCCTCTCTCGGTCTCTCTCTCTATCTATATATTATAAACTCCTATAAATGAATTACTATAAAATGTAGCCTATAAAAATTATTTTAGCTTATCATTTTTGTTTAGTTTAAGCTGAAGTACTAAAATAACTATAACTAAATAAATAAAATATTAAAATAAAATCTAATTAAAAATATTAACAAAAACCATAACAGCATATTGGTGATTAAAACAACACTGATCAGAGTTATTATAATTAACTAAAAACTAAAACCACAAAAAATGTTGATACCTCAAATAAATTAAAATGTAAAACCATATTAAAAAAATAATAAAAATGACACGAACCCAAAATTAAAAATAAAAAAAATTCAATAAAATTAAAGCAGAAAACCTAATTTCTTCCTTCCAGTCAACTTTGCATTTAATATGCTTTGATACAGCACTCTGTGAACAGCCACCCCTTTCAGTAACGACCTTCTGTGACTTACGCTCTTTGTGGAGGGTGTCAATGATTGTCTCCTGGACCATTGCCAAGTCAGCAGTCTCCCCCATTATTGTGGTTTCAAATAACAAGAGATACCCGGAATTTATACTGTAGGGATGGTCATTTAATGAAACTCAAATGTAAATATTCTAATATTTTGAGATACTGGATTTTTTACTTTCATGAGCTGTAAGCTCTAATCATCCAAATTAAACCAAAAAAAACTTTGAAATGTTTTACTTTACATTCAATGAATCTTGAATATATGGAAGTTTCACTCTTTGAAATAAGTTACAAAAAATGAACTTTCTCACGATATTCAAAATTTTTTAGATGCACCTGTCCTGTATATATACTGTATGTATATCCCTTACAGAGCTTGTGTTGGAATAATTTTTAAATCATCCACTAGGTGGCAGGCCCAACAACATTGCAAATTTGGTAAGTGGGGTCTGAGGAAACTTTTCTTGAGGACAAATGCAGGGGTCCACTAAGATCCCAGCCTACTCATTGGGCCCGGTTGAAGGGGCCCCTCTTAAAAATTCCCAGGCATATTGAAATACACTACTGGCTTTTGATCTATGCATACAGAACATCTGCATATTGTGTACAGTACATATAGTCTCCAAACTATATATTGTATGCTCTTGTGAGTATAGCATTTGAAGTTAGACTGTCTGAATTTAATAAGACATAGTGGCACATACTGACCGACACAGAAGTATGGAGCCTTGTGCTGTGTCTTAGCGGACATCCTAGTGAGAGAGCCGTCTCGGAGGAAGTTGTTTAATTCTGCCTGAGTGTGGAAGTTGGATTGTTTATTATTCTGGGATAAACACAGTCTGAGCTTCCCATTTCCTGGTTTTGTCCGGGCTGCTGTGGTAGATCACTGTGGAGCTTGGGAAGTGTATTTCTAGTCAGAGCTGACTCAGCTGACCTGAAATAGAATTATGATGAATAGAAAGAAAAAGAACAATTTATTTGAATTTTGCATCCTACATGTCTATTCTTACATGTGCTTCTGTTGTTTCACTCACAGGAACCTTCCAACCATAATGACGTGGGTGGAGGCACAAAAGCCAGGAGTAGATGGGGTCAATATCATCACTTCAGACTTTGTAGAACTTGTGGACTTCGCAAACACTGTCATTAAATTAAATAACCTCTTCATTCAGGATCGGCCAGGCACATGACCTTTTCAGTGACCACCATGAAGACTGAAAGTGTGCTGACCATAAGGACCTGGAATCACATGGGGGTCACAGCAGGTGACGGATATTTATGACCATTTTTTTATATTTAATTCAACAGACCTTTAGGTGCCATCAATCTGATGCCCATGTTCACTGAAACACAAATGTTGTTTTTATTCTTTTCAACAACAGTTGTTCGCCTACAGTTCATGTATTGAAGGAAACTATTGTAATTATTCATGATTAATTATAATATTTTAGAACATATTTTAAGAATTGTTAAATGTTTGTTTTTTATCACAATATCAGAGCAAGAACAAACAGGGTCATTGAGTTTTTTCTTATGTCTTGAAAAATAAAGTTCATTGAGTTTTTTGTTGCATCATGAAAAAGAAAGTTTCCAATATTTTATATAATATCTCAGCACATTAAAAATATACAATGGCTCATATGTATACCTGATGTGATCAACAGTTTCTGGTCTTTATTTGTGTTTGGAAGATGTGGGTCTCGGTCATGGCAGGAACCTTATTTTGACAGCTGGTGCAATACAACAATAAACAGTTTTTCTATTTTCCATCGCCTCGATTTTCTTAGAAAATTTGTCAAAATAATAAATTCTACCATGGTGGATAATATTTTATAATTTAATTAAAAAACAATGTCTCTGGGGTGTTTTTTGACAAGTAAATACATTCTTTAAATTTTTATTCATACAAAAATTTTATTTAAAAATTAAATTATACATTGTGGCCTTTTAAATGTATGTTTTATTTTTCAGTGGTACTTTAATATTATTTATCAATTAGTTTTTGTTTTTTATATATTTATTTTTATTTATTATTTATTTATAGTTTAATATTTATATATTTATTTTGGTTTTAGTTTTAGCCTTGGAACATTTCTAATTTTGTCTAATATTTATACTTGTTTTATTTTTTTATGTAATATTTTTATTTTATTTCAGTTTTATTTATATTACAGAAAACTATTTTAATAGTTTTAGTTAACAGTAACAACACTGCATGACACAAACATGAAAGGCTTTGAGAGATTTACCTCCCTTTAAATGAAGTACTTAAATTTCTTTAAAAAAAAACAAAATCAAGTGTAATCAAATTTTTTTTCCCACTCTAAATCTCAGCTTAATTTATTGCTCTTCAGTATTTAAAAAAAAATTCTTACCAGTATTCACAGAAACAATGTGAGTGTCTGAACATCAAGGGCCCTTCAGAGTGCAAGATCTTCCACACCTGCAATTCCCTGTGACCATGTCCACATTCCAGTGTTTTCTGTGGTCTCTGGGATGGGAAAGCCATCAGATAATGATCAGGAGCATGTGAACGAGTCCACACAGAGCATTTGAATCCAATAAAGAAACAATTACGTGCTCAAAGCATGAAGGTATTTAGGAAGAGAGAAAGAAAATAGAGACAGATCTAATCAGCACAGCTGCTCTCTTTCTCTTTGGCTTTAAAATCACAGTTTTTGTTCACCGCCGCTATCGTAAAGGGAATGTTTCCCCTTCAGTTTTTCAGTTTGGATATTGATAGTGAATTTCAAATGAGAAATGCAGCCAAATTTTGAATCCAAAGACATCGTAGGGTCCGACATCATAGGGTCCGAAAAGCTCTATGCATTCGCATTTTTCTCATTTATTTTTTCATTTCATTATAAATTATAAGCATAACAATGTGAGTGAAAAGTTACATTGAAAGTATCTGAAACCCATACATTTCTGAAAAATCTGATGATCATGTTCTCCAGCTTGATTGGAGATAATCTAATGAGCTTCAACAGAAGCAAGAACATCTGACTCTTTGTACAAAGGAGTCACATGCATGACGTCATACATTTGCTAATTTGATTAAATTAAAATATTAAATTATTCTTATTAATTTTTCATAATCATGTTACTGTGTTTTAAAGGTTCCAAAATCCTGAAAATGCCCATGTTTAACCCTTGTGCTGTGCTTTATTTGGTGTTCTGGTCAAAAACGATTGCTTGTAAATATCTCATTATGCTATAGTATCACCAAATCTTGGATTCAATCTTTTAATCAACTTGTTTTATTTTCAAATTGTACAGGATTTATATTTCTTTTTGGAATGGGTTGATCACAGGCCTCATTGATCTGAGCTTATGCACCTCAGTTTAGGAGTGAAAAAAGCATTATTTGTGGATAATTTTGGCTCAGAAGGTGCGTCAGCTCAGATCAATGAGGCCTATGATCAATCAGTTACAAAAATTAGTGGAATTTTAGTGGTCAGACGTTTGGACTTTATATCAGTGATTTGACATGTAACACCAAGCCTTAAAAAACATCTTGCCAAATTTTTTGAGAAGCTCCAGACAGAGACCTGGCCAGCTGCATTTTGAAACTATGACATTCTTTGTTCTTTCCATGAAAGTGTGCACCAGTGGTCTTTATAAGACCTTAACAAACAAAATTCCTTCTCTCCATCCTTTCTTTCACACTCTCGCCTCTCCTTTTGTTCACTCCCACTATTTATTTCATTCCAGGTCCTGAAAGAATGTCAGGGGTTGTGTTTTTTTTTCATGTCGGCAGCAATGCTACTTATATAAAGGGACACTAACTGCAGTGTAATTACACGCCGCTGTGGCCTTGTGGGTACAGTGGACGTCTTCCAGTGTTTTTTGTAACTGGCTTAACGCTTGTAGCTTCTGTCTCTTTGTTTGAGGGTTCTGCTGGGTTCCCCTGGTCTTCAGGGTGAAGGGAGGCTGTATGGGGAACACAGGCCATCTGTGAACTGACCAAAGTTCATCCAGCTCTCCATTCCCTCTGTTTGTCCAGCTCATTTAGGAACTATAAAAAGTAATGACGCATTTTGATGGCATTTTAGGTAAACATACATACATTGAATTATTTATTTGGTAAATGGCATTCGTCTTGTTTCGGAGATAAAGAAAACTGGAGGAGCGTGCACTGGAGCATCCTGTTTACCAAAAGATTTCAGCCACACTTTCACTCCACAACTGGATGTTGGGTGTGAACGGCGGTGGGTGTGAATTTATGACACACGTTGTAGACGGTGTATGTTAAATAAACAAATGTTTCACTGTGTATATTTTTAGTTGACAGCTTAATTAGTGAGAGGAGGAAATCCTCTTTTTGGTATTTGATATGTTCAAAAAAACAAAATTCAAGAATTGGCCAAGTAAACTCGCAAGAAAAGTTAGTGGGGGTTTTTTCAGAGAAAACAAGCAGTTAGTAAATGAATAGAGTGCAAGTCTAAAAGGGGTACGTTTTTTTTAAAGAATAGAATTAGAATAGAGAGTGCTAGAGATGGAAGAACTGCATTATACATTCATATTATACAAACTATTAAACAATAATATACTCACAATTCCCTTGATGCAGGATAAGGATGAAGGTGAGGAATGACACTGCAAGAGACTAAAAGAAATAAATAAGGAATAAGTGATAAATAAATGCATGCTTTGATCACAGCAAAGCAGAAAATTTGACATAAGCCATAAAAATGACACATAACAAATAAACCTAGAAATATATAATTAATTAAATATATATATATGTTTTATGTACTTCTAGGCTATACCTATGTTAATGTCAACATTTTGATAAAATAAAGTGAAGATGAAATATTGTGTAACATTCTATCAATATTTCTGGTTAATTTCAAACTGTTGCTTTTAAAAACTAAAGGCGGGTGAATGTTTTGACCCATGTCACAAGAACCAGTGAGCTGTCAATGCTGGCTGAACTGCACGCGCGGCTAAATCCAGTGCGCATGCGCACTTCAGCGCACGGTCTAGTTCCAGCTGTTGCGCATTCCACAGCACAGCGGAGTCGCCGCTGGCCAAGAGCGACAGGACAGCGCCTTGAAGTCACCAAAGAGCCACGGGACTTGCTTAATTTCTTTGAAAAATAATTATTTGTAACAGAGTCCTTGTTTTCAGTTTTCTCAATAACGTTCGGCGGAGCTTTTGGACTTTACAAAGAAAGGGAAATATTGAATAGGCTTGATCTTCTTTTCTTTCTGTCATTTGGAAGCGCACAGGATATTTGCGGAAGAGCGCTATACGCACCTTCAGTATAAGTGTCTTTGGAGCTGCCATTCAAGATGACAGACATCGTTTCAGCAATGGTGAGACTTTTTCCCGTTTCACACAAAAAATAGTCCTTAAAATAAAACTTTAGCTATTTAATAGAAAGCTGTTCTTTTAGTAACTCGAAATAAGCGCACGGTGTCTGACTATATACAAACTGGGTAAATCTTTAATTAGGGATATTTACTTAAAATATTGGAAGATCAATATCTTTCAATCTATATGATTTATATGGTAATATATTTCTACACATACGGCATATGGGATAGTGTGGGGTTTTAATATTCCATGTGATGATAATGACATTTTCATCAAGCTGGACTCACTAACATAAAACTTATAAAAACAAGTATTAGATTTCTCAATTAAAAAACACAAATGCTGATTAGTTTGGTTATGACACCTGAAATTCCTCTTTTTCATAATGTAAAAACGTTCAGTCTTCTCAAAGAAAACCTAAACAACTGATTCATGTAAATACAAAATGAACTGAAATCATGTTCTTTTTAAAAGTGTCCCTAATTGTTAGCTTATGTCTAATGTTTTGTAAGTTAAATACTGATAAATATGATTGATAAGGTTTATTTTGGTTGCAGTATTTATTTAACTTAATCTATAATCGACGCTTGGCACAAGTCATGGCATGGGTCTAGATGTGTTTTGTCTGTTGAATTCATCATGGGCACTGAATCATGACTCTGAACTGAGAAATAGGCATCATGCAGTAAACATCAAACACCAGAGACAATGAAATAGCCCATTTTTAAAACAATCTGAAAGCAAACGGGTAAGGAACTAGTGTTGTGAGGTACCTGATTGAACAAGGAATAATCAAACTGAACCAAACAAACGATTTAAGGTTCATATTGTGTTTTTTGTGCATTGTTTTTGTTTTATTTGACTTAAATGTCCCATCTGTGCACAAACAACAGCATTAGAACCCTCAAACCAGATGTTTTGGTTGTAAAGTAACAGTCTATGACACTCAGAGCACAATTGTTATAGTTACATGCATAAGAGCAGCAATTATTTCATGAGTCAGTGTGAGGGGATGAAAAGAAATAAACATGTTGTGAACAGACACAGAGAGGGATGCTAGAAGCTATAAGTGAAAAACATGCTATAGTTGTGAAAACAGTGGACATGCCACTCAACACACAATTGGTTTTCGGTGTTAAGCTGATGATTGTTGATGGTTCAGATGTTAAAAAGACAGTAATCACTTGTGCTGAGTGACGATTCTGGCAATCAGTATAACCATGGCAGCAAGAAAAAGAACATCTGCATGAGGTTTGTTTGCATTCAAAAACACCTCAAAGTTAGGTGATTTACTGTGGACCAAACATACACTCTTGGTTCCATATGGGGGTTTTCACAGTGATGCCATATAAGACCCATTGTGAGTTCCCCAAAGAGTACGCCATTTTGAAAATAATTCTTTGTGTTCTTAGTGTGAAGAACATTTTAAAAATCTAAGAACCTTTTGTGGAATGGAAATGTTCCATGAATGTTAAAGATTCTACATGGAACTATGGATGCCAATAAAGAACATTTTTAACCATCTGGTGACATTTTATGTTCTGAATTTGTAAAATGTTTTACTTCATTTCAATGGTACGAAACTTTTGGTATGACTTTTGTGGCACTTGCTATATGTACACAAATCAGATGATTAGAAAAGTCTAAATTGTCTTACACTGAAGTAGTCTTTGATAATGTCTAAATATATATCCAAATGCAAAACATAATAAAAGTAATTATGTCTGAAAAAATATATTCCTAAAATTTGTAGTATTTTATAGAATTAAATGTTGCTTAATTAAAATACAAAATATATCAAATTAAATATAGTATTACTTTCATCTTTAAACACACATTTCTATATAAAATTTCATATATAAAATTATATTATGTACTGTTAATAATTTAAAAAGTGGTTTTAGTGCAGTGAGTGTTAATGTCAACATTTTGTTAAAACATTAACTTGTACAATGTAGAAAAGTTTTCAAATAGACTGACTGTTTAAATTAGCTTTATGTGTAAAAGAAATTAAAAGAGCTTTAGAGGAATACTGTTAGAATAATATTACGCAAGGTTTTGCAGCCTAATGTGGATTTCCTTACGTTCTTATTCCTGTAGCCAGATGCAGCTGTAACAACATTCCACACTCTTTCATTTGTTAACTTTGGAATTTGAGGCTAATGATTTAAAAGCTCTTAATATGTTTTTTCAGACAATTTTTTAAATCTTGCATTAGACCAATTATTTATTCAGTTCCTCACGTCTTTTATTGAAAAGCAATTTATATCGGCAAGTCACATTCGCCCTACCTCTACAAAATCTTCCAAATTGCTGTCGCAATTATGGTCTTTATAGTTAACTGTTGCTATTTTTAAACATAACATTAATATCACCCTCCTAATGCAACATAATGATTTTCAGTGGCCTGATAGTCAGTGAAATACTAAAAGGGGAGGAAACTCAGAACAGAGAGGGGTTTGTCTACCTAAAAGATCTTGCATCATTAAGTGTGTCCAGGGGAAGCAAGTGGGCTGCTTCAACCCTTCATAAATGAGCTGCATGCCATGAAGGGAATCCCATATTAAGCTGAGGTCCAGGCACAATGAGATCATTGTCACATGTGACAGACTGGACTAAATAAGCAGCGCTGCTTCGCCACCTTTGAGAGATCAGATGGGTTTTCTATGCTGATATTGTTAAAGAGGCGAGTGCGTGACCTTTAATCAAAAGATGATGACCCCTAATAAAAGACAAACATGTCAAAGTATCTCTTTAACATGGCACTATAATTTCAGAGCCAACACAAAGCCTGCATTCATGACATTTCTTGTATCTAAGGCTATGTATGAATATCCCTTCATTTATTATATGTTAGAGATCGTTGCAAATCTGAAAGCTTCATTTCGACATGGACATCACTGAAAATAATTATAACAATCAGTTTAGTGAGTCAGATGTTGATTCAGTAGTCGCTCAATGAGGGACTGTCAGACTGAATACTATTAAAGCGGTTAGTTGCTTTTTGAATTATTCAATTAAAAGAATCAGCTCACAAGAGTAATTCATTCAGGAATCAGACTATACTGGTTGTGCTGCATGTTTTTCACTCAATAAAAAGAACCGGCTCAAGAGAGTAATTTGTTCATGAATCAGGATACACTTGTTGCGATGTGCATTTCTGATTCACTAAAAAGGGTCATTCGGACTACACAGGTTGCACTGTACAATTGTAGTTCACTTATTCAGTAAATAGAACCATTAGTTCAGGAATCAGACTACACTTACAATTTTGATTCATTTAAGAGAACAGGCTCGTAAGGTGAATCAGCCTACACTGGACACAATGTACAGTTTATGACTTTCTCACAAGAGTCATTTGTCCAGGAATCAGACTACATTGGTTGCACTGTATAATTTTGATTCACTTAAAAGAACAGGCTGATAAGGGTCATTTGTTCATGAATCAGACCATGTTGCTGCATGTTGTTGATTCACTAAAAATAACTGGTTCATAAGTGTTACTTGTTTAGTGAATTGAGCTGGCTCACATTGTATGTTGTTTTTGCATTTAGTCTGTGAAGACATCATATCACTACTGATTTATTTTGCTGTGGCGCTAAATATTGCTGTACTATTCCAGCAGTATGTATGCACTGCATGCAATACATTTGCCAAAATGTACCATATACAACAGAGCTCACCTGTGATGAGGTCATGTGACAACAATGTAGCATGCTAATACTTGAAATGTGTATTGTACTATAATGCCTACAATTAATAAATAATATCAGAGCCCTTAAAATAAAGGTTCCAAAAAGGGATTCTCACAGAAGAACCAAAGAAGATCAATTTATATATGATTCTTCTATGGTTCTTCTAAGAACTATTCACCCCAAAGAACCTTTCAGTGAATAAAGATTCCATTAATGTTAAAGGTTCTCTATGGGACCATAGTTGACAATAAAGAACTTTTATTTTTAAGGGTGGCAGTACACAGTAAATAGTAAGCTAGTATTCCATTCCAAACACAGCACATATGAAAGAGGAACCCAACCATCACAACCAAGATCAGCCTACGCCAAACACATTTAGAAATGACCTGGAAAGCGACCGTGTCTTTACCAGTGTTCTTGTTAGATCTGATGAGGGAAAGGAATGTAAACGGGGAGGTTGACAGACCGTTTCCCTTTTTTAAATCTCCCACCCGTCCGCCGAAATGCTAACCTTGTGTGTGGCTGTCACCACCCGTCCTGCAACTCTGGGAGAGACTTGAATGTGTGATCCTTCTTTGATCATCCATGTGCATTACAGCACATGAGTCGATGGAGTTGTCAGGAATGTTCTCCCACATCATGTCTTGCATAAAACACAAGGACTCAAAAAGCCCTTTGTGTCAAATTCTGGCTTTGCCTGCTTCTTCTGTTTCTTCATCATAGATCTAAAGTCTCAATGTTCTTGTAACACTCCTGTCTTTCTCTCTGAGTCTGTCTCCACAGTCTTATCTTTCATCCTGTCTCAGTGGCTCATAAAATAAATGTTGTTTTCAAATTAACACTCTCCCCCTCTTCCTTCCCCCATTTGATTTATTTCCTGCATGTAAATAACCCTCCGCAGTCTTTATGAACAGTCTGGCTTCTTTGTTTTCAGTAGATGTCTGAACATGCCTGAACATTGCAGCTTCCACCTGAATCAAGAGGTCTTGATGACTAAAGCCATAGTCAGGGTCATCTAATCAGCCAGTGTTTAAACAGCAAACCTGCCCTTATCGCCCCACAGTTGCCCACATCTATAATCCCAAGAGCTGATTGGATGGTGAGGTGCTAGAGAGGAATGTAGATGATATTTTGATCCTGGGGAGACACACCAAAGTAGCTCTCAGAAGCAAAACACTGGGACATTCCTGCAGGAACACGCCTGTCTACCTGTCAGGAAAGAGGGCAAAGAAAGTTGAGGAAGGGGTTTATTGGTCATGTGCAGTTGTTGTTGAGCTGTAAATTAGGTCATGTTATTGTCAAGTGCCCTCTTGGGATGTGGCCAGACATGACCTTAGGGTCTTAAATATCTAAAAGGACTTAAAGAACTTAAAGTTGAACTTTTTTACATAAGTAAATTATCCTCAGTTTGAATTTAATGCAGTGCTGTTTAATTTCTGTTCACTTTAAATCAAGTGAGTTTACCTTATCTAAATACACTATAATTCAAAAGTTTGGGGTTAGTAAGATTTTTTTTATTTTTTATAAATTACTTTTATTAAACAAGGTTGCATTTAATTGATCGAAAGTGACAAAAATACATTTATAACGTTACAAAATATTCTATTTCAAATAAATTGTTTTATTAAATTGTTTTTAATTATTTTAAATTGTAATAATATTATAATATTTATATAATACCTATTTTTTGATTAAATAATTGCAGCCTTGGTACGCAAAATATGCTTAGTTCAAAAGCATTAAAAAAAACCTTACCTCAAACTTTTCAAAAATAATGCACTTAAGCAGGCCTAAAAAGTTGTACGTATTTCCCATTCCTTGTGTGTTTGTTTAGTAAATGTTTTATCACATATCTTAGGGCAATGCTAAATAAAATAAATAAATAAAATAAAATAAAATGTTTTTATGATCACTTTTAAATATAAAACTTACAGATTCCGAGTGTATAAACGTACGAGCATAACTGCACTACTAACATGTTACTATCATGGCAAACAGTAGTATAGAATCATGGTTGTAGGTGCACTCTGATTGGACCCTGGCGTGTGGATTGGAAATGAGGGTGTTTGAACAGCAGTGACCTCATTCAGGAAGTCAGTTTTGTATCTGAGGAAACGGGAACAGCGTGAGGCGGTAATGGTCAGATGGCTCATGCAATTCCTGCTTTCAGGTCTGGAGAACCCAAAAAAAGTATGTGGACACTCAAGAAACACTTAACACAAAAAGGTCCTAAATTGAGTCAAACTGACTTCACTAAAAATCATATTGGAACTAGTTCTGCAGTCCAACAGCATTTAGCATTTGTAACCACATGGATTGATATTTTGGGTTTCTAATGCAATTAAATTATTAGAGTTTAACTCTAGAGTCTTAAGTGTCCAGATTCTTTTAGCTACATCTCTCTCTATGTATATGTATGAATCTGAGCAGGGTTAGCAGAAATGTACATAAGCCCCTCTCTATGGTAACTGCAAATCTGGGATGGCAGGACCAAAGCAAAGGCCATTTCTCACCATATCTCCATTGGCATGGTATACCAAACAGTGACTTGTGGGAAATAATAGGCATGGAACATTCCTGCCTTTTCCTCCCACATTCCTGTTTTTTGCTCCTTTGGGATCGTTTTCACACACATTCCAACCTATGTTACGTGTGGCTGCTGGATTAGATTGCGAGTATGTTCGCTCTGATGTTTATGGCCCCCAGGGGCTTTATTGTGAGTGTCTTTGCTGTACCTATCTTGTTACTGGAGTGCCATTAAACATAATAGCTTTTTTCTTATCTGTACTCACTCAATGGTGTTCAAGCTAGAACTGATAGATAACCAGCAACTGGTTGCTAATGTTGACTTTACATGATCTAAACCATCATGTTGGAGTAAATATTAAAGTATAATTTTCTAAACATCATACAGTCATAGTGGAAGGACAATTGATTAGAACTTATTAGGGTTATTTTAAGGGGTTAGTTAACCCTAAAATTGCATTCTTGTCGTTATTTACTTTACCTTCATGCTTTTCCATACTTTTAAAGTATTAATTCTGGAACACAAAAGAAGGAATTCAATGTTCTTTCTGCTCTTTTCCATACAATGAATGCTGAAGGTTGACAGGCACTGTTTGTCTCTTTAAAAAAAAAAATTTAAATAAAAAAAAAGCACAATATAAAATATATTTAAAAAATGTATCAAAGTACTCATGCACTGTATTGCAGGTGTTGTGAATCCACAAATGTATCTCATTATTTACTGTTAATGTTACAAAAGATTTCCACTTCAAATAAATTGTTGTTAAAGGATCCTGAAAAAATGTAGCACAGTTTCCACAAAAATATTTAGCAGAACATCAAATTTAAACTGATAATATTATGAAATTGTTTGAGTGCCAAATCAGCATATTAGAATGATTCTGACTAGAGTAATGGCTGCTAAAAAAATCATATTTACCATCAGAGAAATAAATTACATTTTAAAATATACTGAAATAGAAAACAGTTATTTAAATGGAAATAATATTTCACAATTTTACTGCTTTTACTGTATTTTTGATCAAATAAATGCAGCCTTGGTGAGCGTAAGAGATTTCTTTCAAAAACGTTACAAAATCTTACCAACTAAATTTGTATTTGTGCTCCACTTAAGAAACAGTGAAAATAAGTGAACAAAAATGTTAGAATAATTTTAATTATAAGTTAAATATTTCGGTTAAGTACACGTCATATTTTCTGAGAAGTTAAGTCTGTAAAGCCCTTTGATGATTATACAACAAGTACGTATATGTTTAAACATATCAGCTCTTTGTTCTTCTTGTGTGGTACAGGATACAGAGCCAAACTCCCCGGCGAGTGTCCTCGAACTAGAGTCAGATCAGAGCCTCGGTTCTCCTAAGGTTAGTGGACAATTTGTTCTTCTGTTCTTTGAGGTAAGAACTATTAATGAGCTGTAATGCACTGTTTCAGAGTCCACCACTGGACCTGATTGACACAGGAAAAGGACTGAAGGTACAAACTGCAACCCCTCACCTGGTCAGCCTGGGCAGCGGAAGACTCAGTGTAGCCATAACTCTACTACCTCTAAAGGAGGGTATGTGCTTTTTTCTCTCTCTGTTTGAGTCCGTCTATCTATCTCCCGATCTCCCTCCCTCACACACAAACCCAAATAACCATGAACAATAGCCTGCAAAGAATAGATCTGTAAATAAGCCCCTCGATCTATGTGTGCCTTCATGAAACAGTGGATGCATGTGGCTTTTATTGTTAGTGCACTTAGGTTATCATAGAGGAAGAGGGTGGAAGGATGGGATGTAAAGCCGGAACCCGGTGCATCTTATTTAATCTTTACCTTAAAGAAGCAATAAGAAGGGTCCACCTGTCTCTGATTACACACAGGTGTCAGACTTGTTCTGATGACACCACGTCTGTGCACATGGCCCTTGCTCATTCCTCGCCCCTCTTATCACAGTCACCATGGTAAACGCTGGAATGCAATCTGAGAATGGTGCAGGAAATGAAGTGTGCAACCTATCAGAATAGAGACAGGACAAGGAGTCAAGCTGACTTCCTCCCAGTGGGACGAAGTAATAAAGTCACAAGTATTACAGTACCGCCATAGTACTGAACACACACAAAGACTGATTTAAACTTGCTATTTCAAGGCAGTCTAATTATGTTTTGATATAAAAAGAGCAAACATTGACCATATCCGTTAGTAATAGACTGTGAGATGTTGAAGTAAAGCTGTAAGGGGGTGATTTGCTTCACTGGTTGAGTGTGTGAGCCAGCAGAGGCCAGAGAAGAATGGGAATGTAAAACAGAAACACACACCATTCCTTGGAACAGTTACATCTCCATGCCAGCAACAAGTCTCCAAGCTGTGACTAAAATTGGCAAAAATTAAGAAGGAGAAAAAAAACAATTAAAAAAACAATTTATGATAACTTTAAATCATTTTGTCTCTGGCGACAATCCAGATGACTTTGGATGCATTTTTGTCAAATGTCAAGAGCGCAAACAAGGGTTTCCTGCATTCAACAAACACACAAGCGTGAGCCGTAGAGTCCAATTCACAAAGAAATTACTCCTATGAACTGATTCTTTTGAATCAGTCATAAAAAAAAAATCACAAAATAGTTTCAAACTCATAGGTTAAAATCATTCAGAAGCATTTCTTCACAAGTAACAAATAGTTCACAAATGACTCCCTAACTGAGTAATTATGTCTGATTCAAAATGAACTGTTGCTGTGATAGATTTGAGTCCATTTACTGACTGGTTGTTCAAATGACACCATGTAATTAAAATATATATTCACAACACAGTTTTATTGAAATTATTATGAAGAATTATTTAATTATTATTAGCAATTCATTTAAAAATGTATTGAAATAAAAAAAATATTCAAATAGGTTATTTTTTGTATAGTATATTGATGTGAACATTTTTGTAAGACTGAGTACCATGAATACCATTTCAAACTAAATTTATACTAAATATACCCCAAATAAACCCTTAGAATATTTGTCCTTAATAATATTTAGTCTGGAGCTCTAGCCACGGTTTACCTTAACATTGCTTGTAAATCACTGACAACTTTAAAAGCCTACTTCAAGTGTACATTTTCATCAAAATTCAATTTAAAAAAGCCCCCAGGGGGTAAAAATGTAAAGCCTCAGAGTTGGTGAGAATTTTTTGGCACTGAATAAACCTTACGGCTGAACTAACAGCAGCACAATATGCAGGATTTATGGATGAACTGATTAAATATAGATAACCACACTGCAGACATATGTATTTACAGTCTTATATTTCTTGCAGTCAACATTAATTTAAATCAAACTCACAGTGGCACTGAAAGCTTGCACTTACACTACAGTTACAAATTGAATTGCTTTTTATTACAGGAATAACACGCATAGGCCGTGATGATGCCCCTGTACCTCAGGACATTGCTATTGAGGGTCCCGGCATTGAAGCAGAACACTGCAGGATTGAGAACAGAGGAGGGGTCGTCACTCTTGACCCATGTGGGCACCGGTGTTCACTTGATGGAGTTCCTGTTACCAGGCCCACACAACTCACGCAAGGTAACCACAATATGAAAGTGAAAGTGAAGTGTGGCCAAGTATGGTGACTCATACTCTGAATTTGTGCTCTGCATTTAACCCATCCAAGTGCACACACAGTAGTGAACACAGGCCCGGTTCTACGGGGGTGCTAGAGCACCCTCAAACAAAATCAAAAGCACCCTCATTTAAAGCTGTATTAATGGGATTTTATTGAATATTTGGCAAACTATCCAGTGCGTTATGATTTGCGCTCTGGAGATCGATTTCTATGTCAATGTGTTTTTGCAGCGTTGAGCAATGTAGCCAATCACGGACAAATCTGAGCACGGACAAATTTCTTAAATCAGAGGCATTTTAAGTTAGAATCCACTCACCGCTGAAATCGCCGGAGTTTTTGTTCCGGTATTGTGTTCAGCACGAATCATCTCATTATAATAAATGTGTTGATGTGTTGTGCAGCGTAGAGAACTTTATTGATAATAACATATCTTTGTGAGATTGCGATGAACTGAGATGAAAAAAGCTGTCACTCATCTTAGTTCACATATATATATATATATATATATATATATATATATATATATATATACTGTAGTTACAGCACCCTCATTAATTTAAGAAGCACCCTCAGTTATTTGATTCTGGAGCCGGGCCTGAGTGAACACACACCCTGAGCAGTGGACAGCCATATTGCTGCAGCGCCCGAAAAGCAGTTGGGGGTTCGGTGCCTTGCTCAAGGGTCTCACCTCAGTCTTGGTATTGAGGGTGGAAGAGAGCGCTGTACATTCACTCCCCCCACCTTCAATCCCTGCCGGACCTGAAAATCGAACCCACGACCTACAAGTCTGACTCTCTATCCATTAGGCCACGACTGCCCACAGTAATAGCGGTAATAGGTGCGCCCAACGTGGGGCTCGAACCCACGACCCCGAGATTAAGGGTCTCATTCTCTACCGACTGCGCTAGCCAGGCTGGCAGTATATGATAGTGCTTCAGTGAAAATGCATTTACAGCATGCATGTTTTTGTTTGTTTACTTTGGAAAACACAGTGTCTGAGTAAATGAAAAGGGGAAGAGGTTTATGACCTGGGAATGAAGTGTGTTATGTATTGGAAATACATAATGTGTCTTTCCAGCAGGGTCTTGGTTTTGGACATCACACAGGGTTTAATTGGTGTGGTTTTGGATCTTTTCTTAATGCGACGCTGTGACTCAGAGTTTCCAGAAGTGTTAGAGTGAGCTACCGAGCTCAGCTTTTCTTCCCCAAGGTTGTATTTTCCCATAATTCCTGCATTCTTTAGCCTCACCGAGTTCCTCAACAAACAATCCATCATTCTCTATGCTTATTTTCTTTCGCACCTCGGTGAGAGCGAGTCAGATAAACATTTACCAGACTTATTCTGACACTTTTCAGTCATGAAGTGTAAATATTGACGGCATTTCGAAATGTCTCCTCCGCTTCTGTCTTTGTTGCTGTGGGAGGGACTGTCAATAGGCACAACTGTGATGCAAATGAAGACAAATTTCTTTTTGTTTTTGAATACTTTTAGAAAACTACTGAGAGACCAGTTTTGAAAGAACTCCTTTTATCATCTGTATTGCAAAAAGAAGCCACATGCAAAGGATGCTCTGTCAATGAGAAATAGAGGCATATTTGAGGCTAACCTCCCCTGACTCTAAATGCTTTGAGTCAATTAGATTAAAACTGAGAGCACGTGAGCAACAGGGCTGGTAATAATCAGAAGAGCTCAGTTAGAGGTCTGTTCCACCTCCTCCACTCACTGTGACGCAACAAGGGACGTCACTTCACCCCAGGCAATTGCAAAACTTCATTTGATTCCATCATGTTTCCTGAGCAAAAGGCCAGATAATGGTTTTCTTCTTAATTATCAAATAACAGTTACCTAATATCCATGCTATGATCTTAACTGTGTCTCCCCTCTAATTTATAGCGCTAAACAGATATATTAAATGTTTTATTTGTACCAGAAGATTGTTTCCTTGTGGTGCTGGGTTAATCCAATCCAACTGTTCATAAAGTAACATGCACATTTGATTATGTGATCAAAGGACTCTTATTTTTAATCCAAGCCTGACTTTAAAAGAGAGCGTTTATAAGATGCAGCAGCTGTGTTTGTGGATTCATTTGTGGGGCAGAAGGGCAGGAAAAGACTTGCAATAAACTACAAGTGTAAACTCTTTTTATGAAAGTCTTGGAAACATTTTTATGAACCTACACAAATGTATTCTGCATGGAAGTACATGAAACAGAATCGGAATACAGTCACCTTGGTTGCCAAGCTTAGATGTGTACATCTTCTGTGTTCTTTTGAAAGTGTATTTATTTAGCATTTGGAGCACAGCTGTGTAGACTAAACACTTACGAGCGTGCGCACACACACACACACACACACACACACACACACACACACACGTGTGCCTGTTTATGTTTCTTTTTCGTGAGTGTTTCTCTGGACGTGTTATGCCTATGGAAGTGTGTTGACTGACTCAGGGTTTTATTTTCCTGCACATTGAGTCCATCTGGTGTTATGAAATCAGCGCATCCCGCAGCTCAAGCTGTATTTGTCTGTTCTGTGACGCATTAAAGGGAAGTCCAGAGAAAGCTTTGAAGAAATGTTCCAAAGCCGGGAATGTGTGAGACAAATTTAGAAGACTTGAGTGTCAAGGGTTTGGCATGTTAATGACACACACGACTGGACGTTCAGTGAGCTCTTCATTGTTGTAGCATGTGGTTCCATCAGTGACTAAAAATTGCTGGAAAAACATATACTGTAAGAAAATCTACCTAATTTAACAAGTAATTTCAGCCCATTTTTTGAAAATCTTGTCTTGTTTAACTCCAAAAATGAAGTTGGTTAAATTATTTAGATGAGTATCTTTCATTAGGCTTCTGTAAAGATGCTCATGCGTTGAAAACCAGTGATAATTTACAGACCGTTCCCATTCAAAATTCTTGTTTTGATGGAATTGTTTTCACTCACACCAGCTCCTAGATACTCACAGTGAAAAGACCACAGAGGCAGATCTTTTGGGGTTTCACTGAGAAGGAAAAAGAGGTCCTACATATTTTCCATGAGCTGTTATTCCGCTTTCTATTACTTTTTTTCCGGGCTTGCATCCATCTGCCATTCTGTAGTCTCTGATTTCAGATTAGTGGAAAGAGCAGACTCAGACCCTCAGGATGTAGTACTTTGCTAAGAGACAATAAGGAAAACCTGATTTATAAATCAGTTTTTATGGTGAAACAAGCTTTTCTTATTCAGAATTTGGAGCCCTGCAGACTGACATCCGGAGTAATTGAATAACGAGGTTGAAAGATTCGTTTAAAGTGAAACATCTAGGGTTCAGTGTTGTTTAGAAGATTTCAGTGTTATTTCACATTTTCAATGAACTATGGGCTTGAGTGACGTGAACACTAATCTGGTCCTTCTCAGATTGATCCATGTGTGTTTATTTTCCTCTCTGCAGGTTACACACTCTGTCTGGGTAAGTCCTATATCTTTCGCTTTAACCATCCCGAGGAGGCCAACCGTATGAAAAGCATGCTGCCTCAGAAGAGTCCTGTCTCTCCGCTGGTCTACAGCACAGGTAACCTTTCCTCCTTAACGTCACTATAATATTCCCTTCATTCTCTTCATCTTTCTTCTTTAACTATCCATCTTATGCATCCAAACCCCCTCAAAACCTGAAACCCCTAATCTTTTGTACACACACACACACACACACACACAGCCTGTATCCTATATCACAACATGCCAGCTCCACCTCCATGGAGGAACTTCTCTGTATGTGTGTGAGTAATACGTAGTTTCAGTTATCTGTCACAGCTCTTTTGCAGTCTGAAATAGAATCCTCTAAACCTTTGATGTAGCAGAATTCTTTTAAGAGTACTTAATGTCTACTTTACAGACAAGACATCTTTACACAGCCAAATTAAGTTTGCTTGGAGTATGGCCATCCCGAGGAGGCCAACCGTATGAAAAGCATGCTGCCTCAGAAGAGTCCTGTCTCTCCGCTGGTCTACAGCACAGGTAACCTTTCCTCCTTAATGTCACTATAATATTCCCTTCATTCTCTTCATCTTTCTTCTTTAACTATCCATCTTATGCACCCAAACCCCCTCAAAAACTGAAACCACTAATCTTTTGTACACACACACACACACACACACACAGCCTGTATCCTACATCACAACATGCCAGCTCCACCTCCATGGAGGATCTTCTCTGTATGTGTGTGAGTAATACGTAGTTTCAGTTATCTGTCACAGCTCTTTTGCAGTCTGAAATAGAATCCTCTAAACCTTTGATGTAGCAGAATTCTTTTAAGAGTACTTAATGTCTACTTTACAGACAAGACATCTTTACACAGCCAAATTAAGTCTGCTTGGAGTATGGTGATAGAATTGTTGCTTAGTTCCAAATAAATAGAATGAGATCCACAAATAAATCTTGACGTTCCACAAACATAAATTAAATTCACAAATAAATAAAATAAAATGTGCAAATAAAAAACATTCACAAATATATATTTGTCACAACCACAACTTTGCCTGGCATTTATTTGTGAATCGCGTCCTGTGCATTTGTAGATAGCTGCACACATTTGTGAATCGCGTCCTGTGCATTTGCGAATTGTGAAACATTTCTTCCGTCAAGACGTGCTGACAATCCACAAATACGTGGACTCCACCCACCGTCTACTCAAGCCAATCAGATAACAGCCACATTTCGCTGACCAATCGTAGCACGATCTCGCTATAGCCAATCACGTTTTGCTTTACAATCAGGGTGGTCTCGTCCTGAGATAACTTCATTCATCTGCATTGCATCAAATAGGCAATATAAGGGCCATAAAATGGGTACAGTAAAAGATGTTTAAAATTGGAATGCACAGGATTCACAAATAATTGCCAGGCAAAGTTGTGGTTGTGATATATATTTGTGAATATGGTTTTTATTTGCAAATTTCATTTTATTTATTTGTGAATTTAATTCATGTTTGTGAAACTTTAAGATTTATTTGTAGATGTCATTCTATTTATTTGTCAGTATGTTTAATGTTTGTTAATCTCTTTACATTTATTTATGGATCGTAATCTATTTATTTGGAATTAAGCAACAATTATATCTCCATATTGGAGCAATCTCTGCTTCAATTTCTGTATAAAAATGCCACTTAAAAGCCATAGTAAAATATGGCAGCTCTGAACCATTAGCTAAAGTTAATTTTTAATTCACATTTTTATGGTATGCAACTTCAGTGCCACAAATAAAGCAATATGAAGATGACATTAATGAATAACCTTTTATTTGATTTTTTTAATTAAGTGAATTACAATTGCTGGACTAACTCCAACTCAAACCCCCCCAAAAAAGAATTTAACTGTATATATCTATATGAATGACTTTTACAGTTGAGTACATCCTCAAGGGTAGTTTTGCCAAAGTATATCTAAGCAAACCCACACTCACTCAGGGAGCCAGTCTGTCTCATGGAATGTGTGATCTGTACACAGATGTGGTTTGGATTCTCCCCGTTGATTGATTGAACATTTTGAGTGAGGTGTAGAGAGTGACATAAATCATTGCCACCTCCTCTCAGTCTTTCCCTCACTCACACTGTGTTGCTAGACAGCAGGAATGAATCTTCACATAAACAAATGTGCACCCACTCACTCAAAGTGCATTGTGCATAGCAAACCTGGGAAAAACAAACACTCTGGGCCTTACTGTGCTCGGTATACTGGTATAAGTTAAACTTTAACCCTTATGTTGCTGTCTAGTTTGTTTATAGGGGTGTAAACTTACCGGTGTGGTGTATATACACCAGCATGCATTGGTTTCTTTCAGTAGCTATAAAAAGTGAAGCTTGTCACTAAATGGTTAGCCAGAACCTCCCCATGTATGGTTAAAGTTTGTGTGATCTTGCATGCCTTTCATCCTACCCTGTCATCCTTGTGATATAGCTTTCAGTTTCTGCTCTATTTCCTTCATTCCCTTCACGTGAGAGATTCCTCCATGATTTAAGTTCTGCTCCAGCCTAATGTACGCACACATGCACCTTAAAGAGATAAAGGGATTTTTCTTGGCATGTGCAGGCTTATGTGTTTTATGAACATTCATGTCAGTCATCTGAAGTGGGATTTCTATGATCTTCGCTGTCTTGGCACGTGGCGGAGTGAAGATTACGTCTTGTCCAGAAAGCAGAAGAGAAAAGTGTGTCTGTAAAGTAGGGAGATAGAAGAGCAGACATAGAAGCCAAATTAAACATGGATGTCTTTTGTCCAAACTCTTCCTAGCCTGGATCATCTACAGTTATTTTAAAAGTTAAACAAATGAAGTTAATTAAGGAAGTTTTTATATTCCTGGTTCACCTCATTGTGCAGTGTTTTGTGTAGAGTAGACTTTGGTCAGTTTCTGTTTCTAGAACATTCTGAACTTTGGTCAGTTTCTGTTTTTAGAAAACATCTTAACTGACTAGGTTTGTGTTAGTTTTAGCTGTAACGCCACATTGAATTCTTGGAAAGCAAATAGACAGGCCTAATTTATTGGCCCCTGAGAGAAAACTGATGATCTTTTGGTTCAAGGTTTTTGCAGGTCAAACGAGTCTTGGGTATAGCAGTCCGAGCTCCCCATACTCCTGCAAACAATTAAAGCAATTCCAGGAGTTTTCAAGGACCAAGCAGACAGTTATATAACTCCTCGTAACCACTTTTTCATGTTTGTAATAGTCTGACCTTTTTTCAAAAATGAAGCTGCTCGTAATAAACTCTCGTTTATTCTTCTGAAGAACCTTTCTTGTTTATTTTTAGATTATCTGAAGTTCAGCAGCGACTTCAGTCATTGTCTAGGTGGCTCTGGCTCTAGAGGGATGCGCTCTGTCTCTGAACTGCGGGATTTGATGGACACTTTACAAAAAAAGAAGCAGGCATTGGAGAATAGTTTGCGAGCCAATGGGGACTCAAGCCCATCCTACTTTAGCATGACGCAGTCTCCTCCCACCACACCCAATCTGCTGTCACCCATCACCACATCCTCCCCAATATCCTATCAAGAACAAACTCGCCGATTGTACAACTCCGAAAGGCCACCACTTGCTGCCAAAGTACCAGCACATTCATCCAGCAGCATGCCTCCATCTCCTCGTCGTTCCGACCCTCGAGAGCGTGACGCATCACTTCCTTATTCTCGACCCATGACGCAGAACCAATCTCAGGATAGTCTCCTCCTTAATACACCAGACAGTCATCGTGCTGGGACTTCAGGTTCAGCCCTCTCAATGTGGAATGGTTCATCCACCGGTGTGACCAATTCCCTCCCCACAACGCCAGTGGGCGGTAGTGGTGCAGCCAGCATGCCTTCTAGTCCTCGTCTGTCTCGTAGATTCCACACTCCAGATGCAGGCCGCAATGGAGGACTCGAACCCACTCCACGGCAAAGAAAGTACTCCGCTGGGTCACTTACAGGCATGAGCTCGCACAGTCGCTCCCTACCACGCCTCTATCGACCTGCCGACACTCAACTCACCCTCCCACCAAGCTATCGGTCTCCTGATGGCCAGCTTTCTCGCCCAACTGGCTCCAACCACCAGAATGGTCATTCTGAATTAGTCTCGATCTCGCTGTCCAATAAACCTGGAACCAAACACACCGTAGCCCCACCAGATGTCACCATGACATCGGGAGAAGCCACCAGCCCCCGCCAAGCCAAGAAGGTGAGTTTGACATCCACCAGCTGCTACTCGGAAGTGGACAGGCAAGCCATGCGTGGTCCCTCACCAGCTCTGGAGATTGGTCTCGGGGAGAGAAGGCAGTCGTTCGGAAAGGCAGGCCTGGGTCCGCCAAGTGGCTTCAGGGAGAGAAAGGGCAGCATCAGCTCTCTCAGTGGAAAGGAGGAGCTTCAAGACTACCATCAGAGACAGAGGGATGAAAGACTGCGGGAACAGGAAGTGGAGAGACTGGTAAGAGACTTTTATCACTTAATTAATTCTGTCATTAATTACCATCATGTCATTCCAAACCCGTAAGATCTTTGTTCATCTTCGGAATACAAATTAAGAAATTTTTTATGAAATGCAAGAGCATTCTGACCCTCCATAGACAACAAGAGAGCTACCATGTTCAAGGCCCAGGAAGGTATTAAGGACATAATTAAAATAGTCCAAGTGACATCAGGACTAATTTTAATTTTATGAAGCTACGAGAACTAAAATAGCAACTTTATTCAACAATTTTCTTCCATTCATGAGAGTGTTCTCATCAGGGGCTTAGTTTAGTGTTTTGGGGGCCCTCAGCTAGTGGTCCCGGAGAGGCCCCCCTCGGTGGATTTTGCGATCGATTCCGAGGTAGGGATGGGTATCATTTACATTCTATCGATACCGATAAGATACTGCTTATCGATACAGTTATCCATACTACTCTATAATTTGGTGCAAAAATAAATGATGTAAAAAGATGTTGAAAATTTAAAGTTATTTTATTACTGCAGTTTACAAATGCCTCCAAGCAAACAGAAAAACGCACATAAAGCAAATATTTTAAATAAAAAGGCCTTTTAAAGAGAGAGAAAGAGATTTCCTCACCATACCATAGCACAACATATTGTAACATCATGTGCATAGGAGCACAACAGAATGTAACCGAGAATTCTGGCATCTCTTTTTATTTAAGAAAATTAATATATTGACTTTCTCAGGGAGCGGGCGTGATTTCTCCTAAAAGAGAGTGTCCCTCTCTGTTTTAGAGGGACTTTTTTTATCTCCGTTTTTATCTACATGATGAAAAAAGGCTTCTTTTTAACATGTAGAATTATTTCTAGTGATACTCCAATCAGGATTTTTACAGACATTCATTCAGGGCCCGAGTTTCATTTTTGAAAATGGGGTGAATTCCCCTCTTAGGTTACTCTTGTGGGAGGGAGGATTTTTTTTATTTGAGTGGTGGAGAGGGGAAAGTTTTTTTTCAAAAATATGTAAATTAAATGTTTGATCATGCTGTGCATTTTTGTTTTTACAATGGGGCAATTGTTGAGTGTGCTCTCACTGAAGAGCGCACGAGTGATGAATGGTTTAAATACTGGCCAAACTTAAAAAAGAAATGCAAATGATAAACTTTAGTGACGATGTCTGTAAACTGTGACAATTCCTGTGTCAACTGTGCAGTGTGCAGCTCGCTTATAGTGCAGACACGATGTGGTGATATGAAGCCATTTGCGTATTTTGAGAGGGAAAGACCGAGAGCTCGTGAAGAACATGTGCTGTTTGTAAAATTACACCTCACAGAAAGTTTTCAAATTATTTTGTAAGTTATTTAATGAAGAAATATGAATTCTACCTCACCTTCAGCATTACAATTATTTTACCTGCACCAGACAGAGATTGAGACAGTGCCGCTGCATATCATGCCAAACCTCTTACAGCAGGCGCGTCATCAGCTTGAGATCGGTTTATGAGAACAGTTTCTAATTCACCATTAACACAGAAGTACGGAGATAAAACAACACATGTATTGATAACAGTATTGTTTGTCCTGAAGCTTATCAGTAGTCCGGTATTGACCCAATTACGCACCGGTCCAAAAAAATGCTGGTTCTCGACTCCCATCAGAAGAAATCGCGTTCCGCAGGGTCCCACGCAATAGCATGGTGCCTAAACATGCTACTGGTTCTCATGAATTGCGGCGGACTGACCCGGAAGAGAAGAAATCGTTGAATAAAGTTATTTTAGTTTACTTTGCACTAAAAAATTATTCTCGTAGCTTCATAAAATTACGGTTAAACCATTTATGTCACATGGACTATTTTAACGATGTCCTTACTACATTTCTGTGCCTTGAATGTGGTAGTTGTGTTGCTGTCTATGCAGGGTCAGAAAGCTCTCGGATTCCATCAAAAATATCTTAATTTGTGTTCTGAAGATGAACAAAGGTCTTACGGGTTTGAAACGACATGAGGGTGAGTAATTAATAACAGAATTTTCTGTTTAATGTTGTTGATGTATTGTTTTAAAGTCAGCATGAAAATGTAATTAAGTAGTGATTGTAATACCTTTCATAATCTAATCAATTCCTAATGACTCCTAGTGATCCCACCCTATTTTTTTCACATCAAATCTCCTAGTTAACGCACAAATGTCACATTTCATTTCACATTTTCAAGTAAAATGGGTTTTAAATTCTGTTTTATGTTGACTTTAACACAAAATATGCATATCATTATAGAAGTACTCAAACATCTGTATGTCCAATCATCTGTTTCATTTTTATTATAATTCTTTAGAAGCATATCATTCTTCTTAAGACTCACCCAATATAAAGAACAAATGACTTTGAAGATTGATTTCATCTAGAATATTTAACATTCCTCCTCCATGACCCTGTTTTCTTTTCTCATTGTGAAGGGGGTATCACATTAAAAGCTTGTGATATTTCAACTCTTCTTGCAATATGAAGATATGGGGGACCCCACCTGCAGCCTAATTAATCTTCCCGCCAAACTTGCGCTCTGGCATTCCTCTCGGTTATAACAAACACACCATGTGCAGGAAGGCCTCTGGTTCTCTGTAGTGGATGCGGTGGAAGACCCAAGCAGAGGTGTGGCTGCATAAACCTCCTATTAATAGACAGCTCGACAGCCCAGAACCACATCCACTTTCATTGAACCCGGCCTCTCGAATACACTCTCTCTGGGAGGCCACCCACAGCTGCAGATGATCCTGGCAAATTGCCCATGCTAACATGCCCCATTCTTGCTACTCAGCTGCTCTCAATGGCGTTCAAATGAAAGGCAACAGAGTTTTTGCACGCTGTGGTTAAGGGAGGCCACCTGTGGCGCCGCCCTGCTGGGCAGAGGCCAAACCATCATCGTAGGCCGCCCACTCATTAGTTAGCACCAAAACTACAGGCTGGTGATCTTTACAAGGCCAGCACTGAGTGAAAACAAGGCCGCTACAGGTGGAGAATCGTATCCACACATAGACTTTCACTGGGTTTCTTTAAAAAAAAAATTACAAAAAACTCTCTCAGAGGAATGTAATATTACAGACTTTAGCCATGGTTGTACATGTCCAAAAAACACACACTCATTTCATGATGGCACGTTGCGTAGCATGTGCTGTTTTGTTTTTTCTGTTTCAGAGCCCAATGAGGTCTAAAATATTGGGAGAAAACTATCCAATAACATTTCCAAATGGCAGCAGCATTGGAAAAATCTATGTGAAAAAATTAATATCATGCATTTGAGATGTATTTACTGGTAATTTATACGTCGCTCGCAAATATATGAATTGCTTTGCCAATGACTTTTAATGGCTATCAGTGGACAGAGATGCTTTTTGTCTGCTTTTTTCCTCATGCAAGATCCTGTTCCAGTTCCCTATTAAATTTGCATTTGCTTGTTCTAGCTACAAATTTTCATTACCTGTTAGAGCTATGCTAAGCTAATAGTCTAAGTTGCTAGCTTGCTAACCAAAGTTGACTTCTGTTCTATTAAGTGTTTTTAATAGCCTAAAACTATTGAAAACATTTTTGTGAATTGAAATAAAATTAAATTCTGTAATAAACTTGAAGTTTCCTTAGCAACTAAGTTTAAGTACTAAAATGGAACAGAAATAAAAATAAATAAAAAATATTCAAAGAGAAATTATAAAAATCACACGCATAAGAAAATTACTAAAATTGAAAAATGACTCAAATTAAATTTAAAAAAATTTAAATTTTTAATATTTAAATAACATAGTGTTTATTTTATTAAGAATAAATACACCGCAAAGCAATATCCTATCATTTGACAGAACGGTCCTTCACTGATACAGTTTATGTAAACTGATTAGGATTATGGGAGAAGATCTCGTGAAGTTTTACCCTTCGCTCTTGCATTGGGGCTGTTAGCGTGTCATGAATAAAAGCGGAAGGATTGAATCACGCTGCTCCTATTTGTATATCCTTTCCCATACAGTGCCAGCAGTGTTTTTATTGGGTCTAATTTCACTCTCTGCCCAGTTTCTGAGAGCTCCCCCTCTCTCTCTCCTATTTGCAATCTCCCTTCCCACTGACTCATCAACCTTCCATCAGAGGGTTTGTGTTTCTGACACCGGCTTGGTTCGTTGATTTCTCTCTGTAATTTGTACTTGCTGTGCTAAGGAACATAACTAAACCTGTCATCTTTTTGATGAGGGCATGATCTTCTCCTGTGAGGTCACCATGTGTCCTCTGACCTCTGGATCCGTTGATATGGTGAGTAGAGCACTCTGAAGAATAGGGCCATGCGAATGCATAAAAATGCTGGGCTTATTTTGCGGACCAGGTTTCGATTTACAAGGAAATATCATCTTTATGGATTTAATAACTGTTAACATGCCGGTTTGTTCATTCGCAGCTATATGAACCAGTGAGATCATTTTTCTTGGCTCTGGAAATGCTCGCCTGAGCTTGCTGTTTGCATTTCCATATCAGTCGATAAATACAGGGATTTTTTTCAGGCCAAGTGCACTCCTTCATGGCCCGGGTTGTTTTTAGATGTATATGCCTGGTTGTCTTTGTCTGGTCTTTCTCTGATCGCAGTTTGGGGCTGTCAAGGGTGCTTTTGGAATCAAAGATGTTTGTATATTGGACCTTTTTGGAGAAATCGCAGTAATGTTTTTCTTTAGGTTACCTATGGGCTATTAGTGTGAAATATCTGCAGTGGGTTTTCTCCAAATAACAAACATGTTCAGAAGTGCTGCAGGTAAATCTGTTTGCATTTCAAAGGTGAGACAGGTTTCCAAATTTATCATTTCCTCCAGCTGTCTGATTGTGAGTTTTGATGCTGCAAGTGTCTGAATATGCATTTTTTTTTTCATACTGTCTCTGTTTGATCCATAGGAACGTCAGCGTCTGGAGACTATCCTTAATCTGTGTTCCGGGCTGGGCCGTGCAGAGCAGGACAAAACTGGCTTGGCCGTCGCAGACTTGCAGAAGATCAACAAGGAGCTGGAGAAATTACAGGTGTCAGATGATGAGTCCACGTTCTCAGACTGTGCAAGTCTGTCAGCCAGCATTTCTGCTGAAAACAACTATGGGCTTAAAGCCCAGGAGACCCAGGCCAGCGAGGAGAGACAAGTACGGCAGCGCAAGAATAGTGGACACAGAGAAGCCAAGGCGGAGAAAACCGCTGTCCTTGGCTCCGCTCCCACCCCTTCTCCTCGGCTGACACGGATAATAAAGGTAATTAGTAAAGCTTGTCTTAAACCACTTAAGCTACTCTTAGAAGTGTATGAATGAGAGGAACTGACTTCATGCATCTACTAAAAATCACCATGGGACCATTTGTTTAACAATCATTGCATTTGCATTGCATCAAAACATTTTAATTTTCCAAATACTTTTTTGGGCCACTGATTATATTTAAGATACTGTAATATTAAATAAAAATGACTTAAATTGAAATGTACTCTAATTAAACTGTTTTGATCAAATTTATATTATATTATATTATGCTGGAATGGTAATACTCTTTTAAACTATTCATTTAATAAAAATTTACTTGTATATTATTATTATATTATGATTTTAATAAGTTTAATTTAATTAATAAATAAGTGTATTATAATTTCAGGAATTTATAATAATTGTAATTTTTTTTTATTTAATAAATATTTTTTAAAAAATAGTATATTTTGTTTCTTCCATGTTTTCATTATTATATTATACATTTCTGTAATTGTAATTTCTCCTTTTAAACTATTTATTTAATTTAAAAATAAGTGATATATTATAATAATCTTCATTTTTAAATTGAAAAAAATGTTAAAGAGTATATTTCTTTGTCAGCATTATTTATATTATAAATACGTGCAATGGTAGTAATATACTTCTTTTCAACTGTTAAATTACAATTTAATTAGTCTAATATATATATTAATATTTTCATTTGTAAAATTCAATAAATTGTTTAAAGTATATTTCCATGTCAGCATTTCCTTAAATTATAGTATAGTATAGTATAGTAGATTGTCTGCGCTTGTCAGATGACTTTCAGCTATACTTTGATTGCTTTCCATTATGGCTTCATGCATGAAGTGTTTTCTGCGTGCAGTGTGTGTTTTAATCTTGCTAGGTAACTGAATCATATGTAAAGCTAGTCCTTTTCCATACTGCTAATTCCTGTGACCTTTTGGAGAGGTTATAAGAGTTTCCCACCCTTCCTTGGCATGCACACAACCTCACGCACACTTTAATCCAAGAAGGAATTCAAGGAGTCTTCCCTTCAACTCCTGTATGGGCTAATCTAATTAGTCTACTGCGCAGGAGTAGCAGTCATGCTTTGGTTCTGTTATTTATCCATCTAAAGGTATACGCAATAGAACACAAAATGGCCATGGAAACCAGTTTATATAAACTATAAATCTGTATTGGCCCTCTTTCTGCAGCCCAGAGTTGTGCCCTCCATAGTATAAACTGTGATGAGCAGATATAAACATCACTGTCCAAATATAACAGGGTCATGCGCATTGTGTTTGGTCAATCTTTGCCTCACACAGTGGAAGAATGGCAGTCTTCTCACCCATATGTGCTGTCCTAATCATACATGCACAAACATGTGGAATCTTCCAGGTCAAAGGTCAACTTTTTGCTTATAAAACTCAAAATAAGCAGATCACCTTCTACGGATATTGAAAACGTAGATAAATAATTGGTTTAGGAAATGGAGCCGCCCCTCTGTTCCTCGAAGTTTCCGTTGAACCCATTCATCATTGTTGGTGTTCATTCAGTGAATCCTGTTTCTCAGAGCTAAAGATCTGAGCAGCTGCCAGAAGGGGGCATGTCCATGCTCTATTAAAGGGCTTTACACTACTAGCATTGCCATCTAGGCCAGTTCTAAATGTAGCATTAGGAATCAATTCAAAACCTAGCATTACTAATAAGTTAAGCTTGGAAGGTTAAACATTCACTAATAGCAGCTGAAATAAATGGGGACAAAATGCACATGATAGCTGTGTTTCAAAGCCTAGTGAGCTGCCCTGCTTTTTGCTGTCTACATAGGCAGCTAACTTCCAAGTAAGCATCCTAATCAATACAAAACCTAATAAGAGACTGTTTTTTTATTAGGATAGGACAGTATTTAGGTAGGAAGCAAAGTGGGAGAGAGAGGGGGGCAGGGTCGTGAAAGGTCCACGAACCGGGACTCAAACTTGGGACCCCCAAAGCGCAGTGGTGCTATATGTTGGCGCACTGCCCACGAGGCTATTGGCGCTGACTCAGTCATTTAGATTTTAAACTGACCTAATGTCTTTTATGTATTTTACTTTTTATTACATTGTTCAGTATAGTTGTGTGGTTGCTTACATTATCGTGTCTTCAGCAGACTGCTGAGGATGACACACAGCTGAAGCTGGACGTGAGACGTATAGAGGAGGAGAGGATCCAGGTCCTGAACAATATGGAAGAGTTAGAGCTGAAGATCAAAGACCTGGACAACCAGATGGAGGAGTCCATCAGAGAGGTACAGTAGACACATCAGGTCATGGAGGAAGTGGGAGAGATCTGGGATGGTGGGAGTAGTGAAGGGAGAGTGTTTGTGTGGGAGAGTTGTGCATGTGGCAAAGTAATCAGGAGCAGTGATGAGGACCACAGCTAGACATGGAGGTCTGAACTGCCAAGAATAAATCTGTTTTACTTTCTCTCACTTAAAGCCTCATATTCTCTGTTTTTCCCTTTTAATGATGCACTTAATTCCTGATTCGATTTCAATATTTTAATGCTCCTCCACTGTAATACATTTTCCCTTCCTGTCATCCTCATTTCTCCTTTTTGTTCTTTTCTCTCCATAACAATCTACTGAGGTTAGGAGGCCTAGGTAAATTTAGAACATAAAGAATATTTAAAAAATCTAAAGAACCATTTTTCATTATAAAGAGCCTTTTGTGCAATGGAAAGGTTGCATGGAATTTAAAGGTTCTTCATGGAACCATAGATGATAAAGAATATTTTTAAGAGCTTAGCTGACTTTTTTTTTCTATCTGGCCTACTTGATGGTGTCTTGATTCTTGCAAATTGCTTCTGTTCCATTGTTTTTCACCCTGTCAAGTTGGTTTTGAACATAAGAAAGTATCCTATTTCTATGCCCTCTTTACAGTAGACACTGCAAAGTTGTTCATAAAGTCCAAAGCACAAGAGAAAGCTATTGCGAAGTTGGCCTTAAAGGCCTCCCATCTCTTGATTAATGTTACGTAGGTAGGTTAGTCTTGAGCCAGCAGTTCCTGCTAAGTCAGCTGTTCCATTACAATCCCATTCAGTAAACCCAGAATGTCAGTGTTGTGCTCTAGTTTTATGAGGTTGGGCTTTTATGGGTTTAGAACGTGGGCCTCTTTTTATTTGTGTGAAATGAGGCACTTTCTAGGTGGTCCAGATCGTAGTGACAAGACACCACTGTTTGCCACGAAATCATTGAAATTGTTGCAGTAGTTACTGTAAGTGACAGTGAACTTTAGATTGAGTAAAAAATTAAGTACAAGTTTTTGTGTGTGTTTAGTTGGAAGTGGAGCGCGCTCTGTTGGAAGGCGAGCAGGATTCGGAGATGGCTCAGCTACAGCAGGAGAAAGACGCTCTGGAGCAACTGAAAGAGAAGATGGCTGACATTGAGAACAAAGCACAGACGGAAAAATCTCAGGTATGTGCCATGATAAAGTCTGTATATCAATGGGAGTACTTGACTATACCTGCTGACGCTACTAATTTAACTCAAATGCGCTCTCCTAAACTGTCCGTTCTTTTGGTGTGTACAGTAGTCATTCATTTTTAAGGATTTAGTTCATTCAGACAGTTCACATAGTTATCAAAAGTGTACTATTTTATTTATACTACTGTTCAAAAGTTGGGGGCAGTAAGATTTTTTTTGTTTTCTTTTTAAAGAGATGAATACTTTTATTCAGCAAGGATGCATTTAATTGATCAAAAGTGAAATCTTTTGTAACATTATAAATGTCTTTACCATTTCAAATAAATTCTTTTGATCTTTTTTAATCAAAGAATCCTGAATAAAAGGTATTACCCTTTGCAGAAAAAAGAAGCACAACCGTTTTCAACACTGGTAATAATAAGAAATGTTTCTTGAGCAGCAAATCAGCATATTATAATAATTTCTAAAGGATCATGTGACACTGAAGACTGGAGTGATGATGCTGAAATTGCCATCACAGGAATAAATCAATTAAAAATGTTAAAATACTGTTTAAATGGTAATAATATTTTACAATATTACTGTTTTACCAAATAAATGCAGCCATTGTATGCATAAGTAACTTCTTTTAAAGAAAATCAAACTTCAATATACCAAAATGAATTACTTATTTAAGGTCCAATGTGTAGAGCTTGTGTGGTATTTTGTAGCCAATTGCTGTTGTGCATCATTGGTTTTGAGTCTGTTAAAGAGTTTATGCATTGTTTCATTATTAATTTTTATTGTAGATTTATGTTACCCTAATTATTATTAGGGTATTTTTGGGTTTTTGTTGGGTTTTGTGCCAGATAAATGTAGTTAAGTTGTATTATCAGATGGAAATGTATTTAAAGGGGTCATATGATGTTGCTAAAAAGAACATTATTTTGTGTATTTGGTGTAATGAAATGTGTTTATGCGGTGTAAGGTTAAAAAAACACATCATTTTCCACATACTTTACAGTATTGTTTCTCCTCTATCCCCCTGCCTTTCTGAAACGTGTAGATTTTTACAAAGCTCATCGGTCTGAAAGGCGAGGTGTGCTGTGATTGGCCAGCTATCCAGTGCGTTATGATTGGCCGAATACCTCAAGCGTGTGACGGAAATGTTACGCCCCTTACCAGATTGTGATGCCCTGTCTGGCCGGAGCGACGAGACAAAAACATTAAAACCCATTATAAACGAGGCATTTGTTGCATCCAGTGGGGACATAATTACGTATTGTAATGACTTATACTGTCTTTTTACGCGTTGCGTTGCATTGCACCGCGTAAACATAAAACCATGTCTGCATTTGTGATCGGAGAAATGACAAACAACAAGTGCTACTCTACACTGCTCAACTCGCGTAAATTTATTTAAAATTCTTTAAATATAAAAACGTACTTACAGTCTGTAAGTCAGAACATCTGAATATTTGGGTTGAACTGTTCTGGAACAGTGTTGTAAATACAACTTAACCACTGATTTCTAGTCGTGTCCTCTTTTGAAAGGCCAAACAAAGTAGTTTCGCTTTCACAACGAAACACACGGCGGGCTAGAGTGAGCGGAGGCCGGCTTGAGTGAACGGCAGCGGGCAGGCTTGAGAACATCGCGACCGGTGGGCTTGCGGCTACCACATGTGACGACCCCAGGCTGGACTCTGCTTCGTCCACAGTGAAAGCCGATCTAGCGATCGACAGCGCAAAGTTGATGTATTTCCTCAGCGACCAGCACGGATCAGCTCCAGGCATGACGAAGTGAATATCGTCCTCTTTTGGAAGGCCAAACAAAGTAGTTTCGCTTTCACAACTTTAATAAAGAATATCTCTTTGGATTTGAGACTTTAGTCTTTGCAACTTTACAGATCTTTTTTTATGCACCAAGAGCTTGTAACACTCCAAAGAGAAAGGAAATATTGAAATTGCATCATATGACCCCTTTAAAGGGATAGTTCACCCAAAAAGGAAAATTGCCATTAATTACTTGCCCTGTTGTTCCAAAACCATAAGACCTTTGTTCATCTTCAGAACACAAATGAAGATATTTTTGATGAAATCTGAGAGCTCTCTGACCCTCCATAGACCGCAATGCAACTGACACTTTCAAGGCCCAGAAACAAAGTAAGGACATCATTAAAATAGTCCATGTGACATCAACCATAATTTTACATGAAAGAGAATAAATTGATGCATAAAGTCATTATTTGTGTTTTCTTTGCGCACATAGCTTCATAAAATGTTGAACCACTGATGTCACATGGACCATTTTAACGATGTCCTTACTACCTTTCTGGGCCTTGAACTAAGTAGTTGCGTTGCTGTCTATGGAGGGTCAGAAAGCTCTTGGATTTCATCAAAAATATATTCAATTGAGTTCCAAAGAACACAATTGAGTTTGGGTTTTTACAGGTTTGGAACGACATGAGGGTGAGTAATTAATGGCAGAATTTTCATTTTTGGGTGAACTATCCCTTTAAAAGACATTGCCCCCATAAATAGCTTTTAGTGCAGTTGGCTACTTTTGCTTCTAGTGTTGCTAATGACTTTTTTAAAAGGTAGCTTTATTTAGTTATGCTAAGCTATGGTTTCAAAGTATCTCTACCAGCACCTTTGTATGCAGAATGTTAAGTTTACAATGCATATTATTACTTTTGAAATATGAATTATAGAGCCTTAGATTAATTTGCATTTCTCACACACACACACACACTTCCTGGCAGCCTCTCAGTCCATGTCACAGTTGGTAATCCCGGCTCTGCTCTAAATACACCTCTGCTAAACCTAGTGACACCACACACTGTGTTGATGGGGTTTCTAACCCAAGAGCTGGTGGAAATCCTGGCACCTGCGTCTCAAGTTCAGCCTGACTTCCGGCTCATTCATTCATTTAACCTGGCAGCTGCGGAGACACTTGAGATACAAACCCTTTAGATGACGGTCCATTTCTGATGCACTAACTCTTAAAGAGGACGGTTGATTTGTTCACTTATTAAATTTGATTGCAATTGGGATGCTGCCTATGTAGGCAGTAGAACAAGAAAGCTTGCTAGGTTTTGGAACCGATCAAGTGAATGCGATATTAATGCGTTTTGTTTCTTGACAACCATAATCCACCTACAGTTGCATAATATTACTTGATGCAAGAATTGCTTTGATTATTAGTAGGATTTTGGTTATTGAACATTGGTGTCTGTTATCAAATTGCTGTTACCGCCACTTGAGGCCATTCTTTGCAGTGTTGTTAACATGCAAAGTGGCCACTTGTTAATTTCAGTTCAGTTCGAACCGATTGCTGAGGTATTTTTTTCAGTTTCTTGAGTGTTGATAACGTCAGCTGTCATTTTCCTGCATTTTCATGTTCTTCATTTAATTCAACACCTCCACATCCATCATGCCTCACTTGTGCTGTTGCTGACTGTGTAGTAACTAACCCTGCCCACCCCACCTGCGCCAGCACTAACCCTTCTCTCCTCTCTCCCTGCATCCTATACACATACGTGCAGGACAAAGCCAAGCTAGATGCGGAGCATGTAAAGTTAGAGCGACTGGCGCATCTGCTTGCAGAGCAGAAGACTCAGTTGGACACCTGCCCCGAAGCCTTGAAAGAGCAACTTCAGCTGCAGCTCTGCAGGGTCAGTACTCACACACAGCCTTCATCCGCCTCTTCCTCATAACCGGGTCCTTGTCCTCTTCATCCCTAGTGCTTGCATTTGTCTCACCTCCATGAAAGACATTTCGGCTGGCTTTCTTCTCTTATATCGCATGCGCTTCCTGTATGTCTGTAATGTACTGCTTAATGTTTTTGAATAATTAAAAAAAATGATATACAGTATTGACCCGAATATTTAGGGTCTAGACTTTGACATGTCAATAATACACCCACAACAATAGGTGGCGCCAAATACGCATAAAACGAGTGTGGCATGAAATACGTAATGTAATGCGTGTTGTAAAGATTGCGAGTAAAAACAAAAGAAGCAGAAAAGCTTACAGCTGCATGAGTCGTGACTGTCACGTTAGCCTGATGGGACCAAACTCCCTTTGTGATTTTAAAACGTAATGCGGTACCCAGATTTGAAGACTACAGTAAGATTTAGCTTCTACTGTTAATAAGATTTTGGTAGGCTACTATTAGATGGATAGCCTAAATGTCCTAATTCAGATGGGCTACCTGTTTTAGTTTTTTTATGGTATATCAAAAAGTGTATATTTTTTTAAATGTGATTGTTGGTACATTTTACCAGTTTTTACCATATTTTCAAAAGAAAAATTAAAATAGGAAAAATATGCAATATGAAAATAATTGAAGACAAAATTTGTTTTACTGAGAAAAAACAAGATTTAGTTTTTAAAAAGCCTTTTTCCAAAAGGCACATCTGGAAAAAGGAGGGTCGTCTTATAATCAGGGTCGTCTTATATTCGGGCCAATACGGTAATCAAAATATTGCTCCTGGCACTGATGGGTCATATTTGATTCTCCAAAATCAAAAGACTATATTAGTATATATTAATGATCATGATTATTATATATATATATATATTTTTTTCCCTTAATTTTTTTTCCATTTTTCTTTTTCTTTTTTTTTTTGCATTACAATATTGAAAAATTGTAGGGGGAGGGTGCTTACGTGTCATAAAAATAATGTTATAATAAGATACATTTGATTACATTTTTAATTTAATTTTATTAATAGTAATTAAGTTTGTGCATTTGCAAATATTATGAACACCCCACCAAATTTACATTACTATAATCCGAAAAAATCTCATCCTCATTATTGTAACGCATTGTAATTATTATTTATTATGTTATTTTAGCATCATTGAGATTTATAGTTTAATATTTGGAATTAGTATTTTCCATTTTAATTTTATTTTTATCATTTTATTAGTTTAGTATGTTGATATAGTTTGTGTAAAATTTTGTGCTGTCAAACGATTTATCGCATCCAAAATAAGTTTTTGCATACATAATATATGTATATATTTACATTCATATAACTTATATATACATATTTAATATATAAACATAACATTTGTCTTAAATATATATGCATGCGTGTATTTATATATACACAGTACACACGCATATTATGTTAACAAATACATATTTTGGATGCGATTAATCGTTTGACAGCACTAGTAAATTTTTATTTTAGTTTTAGTAAATCAAGTTAACTACAACCAGCTGTAATATGTTTTTTATATTTTATTTAGATATAAATGTGATATTGACAAACTATTTTTATTAAATTATTCTAAATATTTTACAATACAATTTTTCTTCAGATTAATCTAAATTCTCAATTTAATTCTTTAATAAAATGTAGTGCTTTCTGAATTTCTATATTTATTTTAATTAGTATACTGTATATTAGTGATCATGATTATTATTTTTTTCTTTTTTTTCATGGGGGGAGGGGTGCTTAATTGTCATGAAAATAATGTCAGAATGCTAAAAATCTACAAATATCATTTCTTATTTCTTTGTCCCATGTCTCATTCATAAGTTTCATGGGATTCACCCTGATGGGTTGGTACACAATCCCTGATAGTGACCACATGAGATGTTAATTAAGTTATAGGAAAGAACTAGGTTATTTAAAGCTGGCAGGCCTTGAATGAAAGTGTGGCATACAGTAGCTGTTTCAGTGATGACGTGGAATGGCTGCAAAGTTTCTTTATGTCGCAGAAGGTCATGTTATGTGAGTGTTGACGTGATTGATCTCTAAAGGTTAGTGGTGATGGGTGAAAATTGTGGCTGGTCCTCTGTTCACTGGCATGTCGCGGCGCATGTTTATAGCAGTTATTGGCCTGCTTCCAGCAGAGTGAAACCTTAACCCCTGTCTCCTACCCTGGGGAGGCTGCTGGAGCAGAGGGGATTTGGTGTGAACTGCTGTTGGTTTCTTTGAGTCTTGTTGAACTGTGGGAGTATTACGACTTAATTTCCTTTACACTTTGAAGATATAGATCTAGACCAGCATGTCTTTGTGTATCAGGATGCAGAGACGCTAGAGGTGGAGACCAAGCGGTTTGAAGACCTAGAGTTTCAACAGCTGGAACGAGAGAGTCGTCAGGATGAGGAGAAAGAGACTCAGACCCATCATATTCTCAGGGAGATCGCAGAACACCAGAGGAGCACCGTCACACGGAAGGTGAGTTTCCTGTTGGTGCCTTCAAGTCATCCTGGCAAGTTCTTATGAGTAAGAACTTTGTGCATTTAAATGATTTGATGGACGGAAAGAGAAAAGGCTTTTATAAGGCTTATATAAAGACCAAATTAACCAATACTACACTCTTAAAAATAATGGTGCTTCAAACGGTTCTTCAAGTGATGCCATAGAAGAACCATTTTTGGTTCCACAAAGAACCATTCAGTCAAAGATTATTTAAAGAACCATCTCTTTCTTACCTTTTTGTAATCTGAAGAACCTTCTTTCGCCACAAAGAACCTTTTGTGAAACAGAAAGGTTCTTCAGATGTTGAAGGTTCTTTATGGAACCATTTAGACAAAAAGGTTCTTCTATGGCATCATGAAGCACCTTTATTTTTGAGAGTGTAGTTAGCTTCTACAGTGTTTTTCTATTTGGCTCGTCTCCAAAGTTGAGGCTCAAAGTAAATCTGTAAATATGATAATTCCAACACATTAATATGTGTGACACCTTTAGGAGAGGCTGCTGGCCCTGAAGAAACAGTACACCCAGATTTCCCAGCAGGCTCAGAGGGACAAAGACAACTTTGTGAAGGAAAAGAACAATCTTCAGATGATGCTGCGGCGGGTATGTCTGTGTAATATTACTAGAAATCCATGCTACACTGCCTTTTTTGCACCCTTTATTGAAAGTAGTTATTAGTGCTTCTGAATCATGACAGACTTTCTCGTTTTTTTCCAGGAAAAGGAGAATCTTGTCAGCTTGGAGAAGAAATATTCTGAGCTCACTGGGGCATTGGGTTTCCCTGTCAGTCCCATCAGTATGAAGGAGGTACGTCTGACAGGATTGTGTGTTCTATGTGAATAGAGCAAACCTTCTCTTGGACTGCACATGTGTTTTGGGCACGAGTACTTCAACCATGTGTGGCTGCCCCAAAAGGTTACTATAACACCATGAATGGATCTACAGTAAATAAGGAAGTATTCACTGTGATCGCTTTTCACCCATGCCCTCATCACGACTCTTGCAACCTGGAAATCTTTAGTTGCAGAGGGTTGTTTGTGTTTCCTCACCGTGGAAACAGGGTCTTTTCCCCTGTATTCCAGGATTGCTTCCAGTTGGCTGACGTGTGTCCACCTCATAGTGAATTTTGCCATGCCCACAAAACCCTGTCTCCACTTCCTGCTGACCTCCTGATGTTTTCTTCTCTTCTTTCCTCTCTGACTATCAAAAATGCTGAGGTAACGCACTAGCAGTGTGCATGCAAGATAATGTATGTTGCTTGTCTGCTGCTTTCCAAAATACCTCCTAACATGCCGCCTCCTCTGGTAGTTAAGTTTCTAATGCTCTTAAAATAACCTCTAATTATTTACTCTTTTACTGGTTTATCAGTGCTTCAAATTCCTTGGAGGTTTTTGTTTAGATTGCTTCAACATTAACTGAATTATTTATTTATTTCATTAAAAAATTAACTTTTATTTTTATTTTACTAATTTATCTGTTATTTATTTGTTGTAAATGTAATTTTTAATTTCATTACATTTGTAATATTTTTTTTAGTATTTAATGATTCACGTTTTTTTTATTAAAAACAATTTTAATCTTTTTTTAATTTAATTTAATTTTAAAATGTATTCATTTATTTATCTTTCCCAAATTTGTGATTAATCTGTTATTAATATGCTTGTCATTAATCATTTTAACCTACTTGAATGTATGTTTTTTTTCCTATTCACCCCTCTTCCCCCCCATTTTCCGAATGGTTTGTTCCAGGGCTATGTTACAGTCAATGAGATCAATGAACTGTACTGTCAGCTGGGGGTAGATCCCACCCCAGCCCCCCTCCCCACCCAAGCCCATTCCTCTCCTGACGCCCCTGCCACAGGGACTGACCCCAGCCCTGAACCCAGTCCTGCGGAGAGCACTGCCCTGCCAGGAGAGGGTGAGGTGTGTGATCAGGATGGTTTATGTGTGTTAGGAATTAGTTTGGATTTAGTGTGCACACGCCAAGTATTGTAAAGTGAGTAAAGGTCATCATGTTACATGGTCACTGTGGGATTTCAAGGTATTTGTATTGTGTGAATTATTTATTATTTGATTCCCTTTCTCTGATTCTTTTTAAATTAAAGGGGTCATATACACACAAATATAATAATGTTAATAATAATAATTATTATTATTTATTTTAATTATATTTAATTTATTAAATTTCCTTACTAGGGAAATCAAATAATCTCTTAGATTTGTTTTCAATTAGATGTCATATTATTCTACTATATAATAATAATACTATATATAATATTCAAAATTATTATTAATTAAATATATTACTAATAATATAATAATTTATAAAAATTAATTTTTAATTTTTTTGTAAATTTTTATAAATTAATATTGATTATATTATTATAATTTTATTCAGTTTCTCTTAGATTTTTTTTTATTTAAGAGGTCATATCATACTGATATATAATAATAATAATATTGTTGTTGTTAGTTATCATTATTTGTCCAGATTCATAATTTTGCCCTTTTAGCGTAAAACATCAAAGCAAATTAATTTTTTTTTTATGATGTGTCCCCTTTAAGCAAACTATAGCCCACCTTCTTCTCGCATCCTTATTTTCGGATTTTCTCTTTTCCAAAGCACTCTTCCTGTCCACTGTCGTCCTCCATCCCTTCTTCCTCTTTCACTGCATGTTCTCGTCCCAATTCTAAACCTCCCTCTGTGCACTGGCCTGAAGACATGGTCACCTTCCTCAACCCTTCTCCTCCTCCTCCTCCTCTACCTGCCAAAAAACAGCGCTGTCACAGACAGGTAAACCTTGCGAGTATGTATGTATGAGTGCAATTATTAGAGACATTTCTTACCTTTAACCTTCTGTTCCTCAGCATTTCCGCACCCTAGAAGAAAGGAAGCGGTACGGTAAGGGAGGCGGAGCTCATTTGAGTGACACTCTTCCTCGGAAGAAGACCCAGACCACCATAACCCCACAGTTCACCTGTGCCACACTTGGTCGTAACATACCCTCTAAAGTAAGAATACATTATAAGTTTACATATTTAGAAGTCACTCATTTGCATTATTATTTATTGCATTTATATAGAATTTGTTATAGTCTTAAATGTACAGTTGCCAAAAACATCCTGTTCAATGCCAAGGACCAAATAAATAAAATATGGTCATGATAAACTAGATATGCACTGGATGATTTTTTTTACTATGTATTCACTATTTTGTTTGCATTTATTAAATTTGACCTAAATCTGTGATTGTCAAGATGATATTACTCATAATAAAAATATATATTTTTTAATAATTAAAAAATATTAAATATTATTTGGCCCTTATGTTTCCCAAAGACTATCCGGTTTTGTAATAGCTTATGTAGTAACTTTTAAGTTCCTGGCATACTTTACAATGTTTTATTAAATGTATATCTGTAAATGTTGCTGTTTATTATTATTTTGAATTGTTTTGGTGAATTGAAGTAAAATTAATTATAAATAATTGTTCCTTGTTCATTTAGTTGAAGTTCAAATCTGAAAATATTTTACTCATTTGCGCAAATATTATCTTCTTGGTTAATACAATATAATATAATATAACAAAAAAATGGAAAGCATCCAGATATTTGTAACTATACACTACTGTAGATTTTTTTATTTTTATTAATACATTTAATTAGCAAGGATGCTTTAAATTATTCAAGTGACAAAGACATTTATAATTTTACATTTATAATTTTCAAAAAACATCCTCCTAAACTCAAATTTTTTGAATGATACTGTATGTATGAAGTAAAAACTCACTCTAACATCACCCCCTGTGTTTAGTCCCATCCCCCTTTAGCTCAAAGCTCCAGCTGTGGGAGTGTGTTGAATCGAGCCCTTGCCATCTCCCCTAAAGAGACGCACATGGATACGCACCGCCTGCACAAGGGTAGGGCTCTCCACCTCAAACACACTGTTTAAAATATACAGTGTTATGTTGCATTACATCATAAATCACACATCAAAAGTGATGCTTTATAAGTCAAACGTTACCTAATCTTGAATTACTTTCTCTATCCTGCAGGCAAATCTAAGAAAGGTACAGTAGTCTGCCTACAGTAGTCTCGATTGCCTGTTATATAATTTCTATTCAAATAATGTCAAAGTCTCTTACCCTGTCCTCTCTGGTGAAAAATGTCCTCCTTTGGGAGACATTCATTGCCTTGGTCATTGGCTGATATCAACCCAACTCTCATTGCTTTTAATGTGTCTGGTCTCACTGAAATGGAGAAACCTGTAGCGTTTCTTCAATTTCATGCACTGTTTGACTCACCAGGGCCTTTTATGGGTCTTATTAGACAAGGTTGAATCTTGTATGAAATAAAGCTGCTATTTTATACACATTACAAAGGCATGAGATGGTTTGTTTCATACAATGGTGTGATGTTATTCTAGTAATTCAGTCCTGCATGATGAGGTCTGTCTGTAGTCATTTGTTTTTGTTTTATTTCTATTCATAGACTTTAAGGTGCCCCTATTATGCCATTTCCAATATTGCCTTTTATGCAGTGTGTAATGTAGCTGTATGTGAATGTAAACGATCTGCAAAGTTGTAAAGCTGAAAGTGCACGATAGATAAAGTTAGCGTCTCCCAAAATAAAGAATCGACTCTGTACAGCTGAAATGAGTCGTTAGTAATTCTAATCCCACTTCCGTGACGGCTACACATCACGGGGTAACACATTTGCATAATGCGTGCCTATGTTCTATGTTGGCCGGCTGTGAACAACTTGACCCCGCCCACAAACACGTCATTCTACTGACGACTGCTTCTTTAATCTCGGGAAGTTCGACGCGAGATTTACAAAACACTTGCTGTTGAAAGATGGATCAGTATCCTGTTTATTTGGACAAGCTGCTCCACTGAATCACAACCTGTAAGTATGATAATAGATGTTTATATTTTCTATAGTGCATTCAAAATACAGAACTATTGAAATAGGCGTATCGTTTCCGACCCCGCTGTATGCCGTAGACCAATCACAACAGACTAGGCCATCTGACCAATCAGAGCATAGCAGGCTCACGGAAAGGAGGGGTTTAGAGAGACTGAATCTTTGAACTGCTTCGAAACAAATCATTTGAGAATCGCTGGAAAACGAGGTGATATTAAATGCTTATTTTGAGAAAACGAAAGCGTTTTTTGACCTTGCGTGCATGTAATCCTATTGTAGGAGACTCCCGAAACAATATTAGGAACCGTAAAAATGGCATAATAGGGGCACTTTAATTATTATGTCACACTGCTGTTTATGGTCTAGAGCAGTGTTTCCCAACCTTTTTTTAGTCGCGGCACCCTTTGGAAATTTTATTTTACAGTGGGGTAATTTTGGTGCAGTAGCACGAGATAGCTTGATTTCAAACTTTGAATTTAATAAAAAATGACAAGTAAGCAGTCAGTAATAAAATAAGAACAAATAAAGAAATTAATAATGATAGCACAAATAAAAAATAACGACAGGCCTTCGAATTAAATAAATTGCTTTTTAGTTTTTCAGGTAGGTCTAACAGTAGGGTTAAGATATTTAAAAAAAAATTTTTTTTTTTTTTACCAATTATCCAAATAATGTTTAGTCCTAGTAAGCTATTATTATCAGAACACGTGAGCATAACAGAGCGGTTAGCAGATCAATGAATAAGAGGGCAGCGTTACCAGAGTTGCCCATTTACCACCCCATGCTACAACACAGTAGGGCTATTGCAGACAGAAACGATACTGTATTACATCGATGTTTCCTGTCGGCTCAATGTTTGAGTGGACTTTGCTGTTCCGATTCGCATGAACGGTATACGAGTGGAGCGAATGAGCGGAGCACACACGCCCATAGAGCAGGATAATACGCAGAGTGTCACACCACGTGAAAGTGAAACCTAAGCGGTGAACTAATTTTCGGCAGCCGAAAATTCAGTGCATCTCTAATTATTGGCGACATCAGAAATGGATATTATATAATAGTTGCTTTTTTTGAACATTTTAGCAATTTAAAAATATTAAAAAAAAATTTTTTTTACACGGCACCCCTGCTCTCGACAGACTGCACCCCGGTTGGGAAACACTGGTCTAGAGACACACTGGTCACGACACATCCCTGACAGAAAGCTGCTGCTGCGTTATATTGACATATTGACACAAATTTCAAATGATTTTCAACGGTCCCTTTGTCGCGTCCAGTGTACTAGACAGACTTTAGCTGTTGCGGCGCAGACACGGTGTTACCTATCGAGAAGAAACAAAGCAACCTCGGCGTCCGATCGCAGGCCTTCCGCTCCTTGAGTTCTCTCCATTGCTGGAAAGCTGATTCGATATTTACACGGGTCATACTTCTTGCCTTAAGCCTTTGTTTGTTCCGCAGACGTTTTCCACTTTTGTTTTTTTTGTTTTTTATCTGCCATCTCTATCTTTCTGTCTCTCGGCTCGGCTAATGTCCGTCCTGTGCACTGAACTCTCTCTCCTCCACATCATGAGTAGACATGCCCCTTACTGCTGATTAGCTACAAGTTTGTTTTGCTCTTCGGCCAGAATCAGTTTTCTAAAGCGTTTTTGAAAAATCACTTACCCCACCTTTAAGGCTCTGGATCACCAAAACAAGCCAATCAAGACCAATTAAAGTGAGTCTCCTTATAAGGACTTGATGTCCTCCAATAGGAAGCGTTTGTTCCATCTGGGTGGAAACTTTCAGCATTTATTTATTTGTTTTGTGAAGATAGTGGAAGAATTTTGGGATGATGAAGGACAGGAAATGCTTCCATTCTATTTTTCAAACAAATATCTGACCTGGTGGGTTTATTTGTGAACTTTTTCTTTTTAATTCCCCAGCTTTGATTGTTAAATCACTAAAGCTTTTTTGAATATGTGCGCATTATGAGTTTACTGTTGTAGAGGAAAAGCTTGACTATTGTCGGATGGTTTATTTGAAGGTCCCTTGGGTCGGATCATCAGAGAGGCGGGTCTCTGCTGTTTCTCGATGTGGTTGATGTTATCAAGGTTGTAGTGGAGTCAAGTCTCATAACCTCTGAGTTAATTCTAGCTGTACTAGTTGTTCTAGCTACAAGTTAAACAGTGTATCTTCAGGAGACAGCATCTTAATCGATATTAAGCACAAATATCATTTGTTCTGGACTTGTAGCTGAAGAAGGGCATCATTAGGGGCTTGGGATCAATCTATGAATCGGAGTAAGGTATTTTCTTACATACACTGCCATTCAAAAGTTTGGGGTCAGTAAGATTTCGTGTTTTTGATCAATTTTTATGCTCACCTAAGCTACATTTATTTGATCAAAAATACAGGAAAATAGTGAAATTATTAGAATTGTAAATGTTTAAACTTTTTATTTTAATAGATTTTAAAATGTAATTTATTCCTGTTATAGCAACGCTGAATTTTCTGCATCATTACTCCTGTCTTCAGTGTCAGAATGATGGAAATCATTCTAATAGGATAATTTGGTGCTCATGAAACATTTCTTATTATCATTATTGATAGCATTTTTGTGGAAACTGTGATGCAACTCTGACAAATATAAAATTCAAAAGAACAGCATTTATTTGAAATATAAACTTTTGTAATATTATAAATGTCCTTACTGTCACTTTCGATCAATTTAATGTATCCTTGTTGAATAAAAGTATTAATTTCTTTTAAAAAAATCTTACCCCAAACTTTTGAACAGTAGTGTGTGTTGTCAGGACATTATTGCACGGTGGTTGGTCTTTGTGAGCACAGTAAAGGGCCCCAGGGTGCCCCGGGCAGCGCCTGGCCAGAGGAAACTGAGCTGGGCAGCAGGAATGGAGAATCTGCTCCTGGGAGTGATGCTGCACTCTCAGGTAAAGCTGAGATAGCCCTAAAAACAGGAAGGATAAGTCATGTGGTGTTATTTCATAGTGTTCATTATTGCTAAATTCATGTTTTCTTTGACATGTTTCTCAGGGCACAGTCAGCAGCACATTGGCGAGGAGCACCGAACGCGGTTGAGTGACCTCAGTGGCCACGCATCCTCACAAACCAACGTCTACCTAGACTCTTTTGGTTACCAAGATAACGGCCGTGCCTTTGATACGCTGAGTGTGGACAGCTCAGACAGTATGGAAACCAGCATTTCTGCCTGTTCGCCCGACAACGTCTCCAGGTGAGGGAGGTTTTTTTTTTTTCTGTCTTCTGTCTGTGTCTGACAAACCTTTGTTTGGCCTCTGGGGATTTTTGGAAAAGCTATTTATATAGTGTGTATATATAAACTTCCTTTAGAAGTTTCAGTATGGTTTTTTTTTTTTAATTTTAAGAATTTTGTTTCGGGAAAAAGCTCTAATCATCAAAATTAAAACAAAAAAACTTTTGAAATGTTTTAATTTACATGTAATGTATCTAGAATATATGAATGTTTCACTTTTTGAAATAAGTTACAAAAATAAATATTTTTTTTATTTTTTACTTTTTCATGATATTCTAATTTTTTTTATATATTTATATTTATATTTGTGTGTAATTATTTTTTTTTTAATGCTGTCCTATTGAATTCTTTATTAATCAAATAATCTAAATAAAAATCGCTTTCTACAAAAATATTAAGCTGCACAACATTTTCCAAAACTGATAATAAGAACCGTTTCTTTAGTACCAAATCTGCATATTTTTGATCAAGTAAACGCAGCCTTGTTGAGCCTAAGTGACTGCTTTCAAAAACATTTTACCGACCCCAAACATCTGAATGGTGGTTTCAGTTTAAATGTAATTTATAAATAAAAAAAATATAAAGAGTATTTATATTATATAAAAACAGTAGAAATCCATTGTATGTCCCCACTTAGATTCAGACTGTAGTGTTTCTCTCCAGATCTACAGATGGATCGTATAAACCCATGACACATACCATGTCTTTGTAATTTAAAACATTTCCACAGCTCCTATTGTAGTTCAAGCCAAGCGTTCTGTCTGGGGTACAATGAATGAAATATTGAGAACAAGGGCAACGTGTGAGGAAAGAATAGAGAGAAAGACAGAGCAACTGAAATCCTGGAACCGTATTTGAATGCTCTGGTGACTGGTCTCATCTAGGTTACCATAAACCTCAAGTCTGTTTGAAAGTGACTAGTTGAAGACCTTAGTGAAAAGACTTTGACAGATGAGACCACATGAGGTCATTACTTGGAGCGATGTGTGTTTATGCTGTATGCATGTGTGTGTGCAGGAGGCAGCAGATCGGCACTTGTGTAATTTGAGTGGTTTGCTTGAATGAGTTCTGAGGGGCCTGAGAAGGACCGTTGGTACCCCCTCCTCTGCTCCGGGTATGGATACACTCAGGTTACAGCAGGAACAGTTAGAGGAAACAGATTCAGGGTTTCTTCCCCTCAGTTTGAATGTAATCAGCCGCAGAGCGCGGGTTCAGGCTGTTCTTGGGTCTTTGTGTGTTATGTTCCACTTCTCTCTACTGGTTCTTTGGGATCTAAATCAGGAATGACCTCTGTTCATCTCCGGCATCACTGGTAAGATACCATAAAGATGAAAGAACTGATTGATGAAGGACATGAGAGGAATACAATGTGTGCAGAGGAATGGAAAAGATGGAAACAAGGTGGCCAGCGGTTATGGTATGGCGATCGGATGGAACAACAAAGAACAAAATCATTTATTTGTTTTATTTATTTTAAATCTGTTATAGACACAATGGAGCAGGTTTGCATGATGGGTTTGATGTTTGCATGATGGGATTGTCTCGATTTGGATTTTGGATCATCTTTGAATTGCATCTTTATTTGTAAATCAACAACAAAGTGTCAAAACAAGCTTTTGTAATCCTGCTATAAGAACTATAAAGTCTTCATCATCATGCATGCAGAGGCATCTTGTTAATGATTGACAGCTGTCCATCACCAGATTCCAAAACAAAACCAGCCGATTTCAGCACATGTTCATAGAAACATCTAGAAAAATCTAATTACTTTGTATGCAAGATTGGCACAGTAATTAGAAATCTGCTCAGGGAATTCTGATTAGTCCTCCGGTTTAATATTTGCATAAGTTGTGATTTGGTCTTTTCTTTCTTCCATCTATCTAACCATCAATAGCGAGCTTGTCAACTCCTAAACAGTTATGTGTTGATTTTTATCTGCATATCTGACAGAAAATTATGCACGCTGATTGTTTGCATTTAATTTATGCAAAAACCAGTTAGGCTTCAACTTTGCTCAGTTCTTTTGTAGTTTGCAAGAACTGTCGTTGCCTTTGTTCATTATCGGTTACTGGAAAGTGTATTATTGGAGGGTATGTTTTGTTTTATGGACAGCTGTTTTGGGAATGCCAGTAATGACAAAAGGGTTTGACGTGGAAGATGATTCCCATATATTCTTTACAGGTGAAGGTTTTAAGGATGATATTGCGGAGCCAAGCAGTGAGGTGAAGGTTTTAGGGGGAAATTTGTTCAGAAAGTTTTACTGAAAGGAGGGGCTGGTCAGATCTATTCCACGTGTTCTTTTTGAAATCTAAATGGAAAGCATCAGACGTCAGACGTCAGACATCTATCTAACCATCAATAGCGAGCTTGTCAACTCCTAAACAGTTATGTGTTGATTTTTATCTGCATATCTGACAGAAAATTATGCACGCTGATTGTTTGCATTTAATTTATGCAAAAACCAGTTAGGCTTCAACTTTGCTCAGTTCTTTTGTAGTTTGCAAGAACTGTCGTTGCCTTTGTTCATTATCGGTTACTGGAAAGTGTATTATTGGAGGGTATGTTTTGTTTTATGGACAGCTGTTTTGGGAATGCCAGTAATGACAAAAGGGTTTGACGTGGAAGATGATTCCCATATATTCTTTACAGGTGAAGGTTTTAAGGATGATATTGCAGAGCCAAGCAGTGAGGTGAAGGTTTTAGGGGGAAATTTGAAGTTTTACTGAAAGGAGGGGCTGGTCAGATCTATTCCACGTGTTCTTTTTGAAATCTAAATGGAAATCATCAGACGTCAGACTGTGGGCCGCACTCTCAAGCTCTCTACGCCTGGACAGTTAATGTGTTCCAGTGCTGACCAGCTTTATTGGTTCCTTCTGTGTTCTCCAGCATATACATACATACATGCCAATGCACATAGGACATGTTTACATTTGCAAGTGTATGCATTCTTCGCACATGCCTAGTTGAGATTTCTTTGGTGTAGAATTCGCTCTGAAAAGTTAAATGTAATGCCTTATCTCATAGGCTATTTTTTTTTCTGCAGCGCCAGCACCTCCAATGTTTCCAAGATCGAGGAGATGGAACATCTTCTCCGGGAGGCTCAGGCAGAGAAGCACCGGCTCTTGGAACACAGGGTAATGAAACGGCCACACAAACCTGCCACTTCTTGCTAGAGCTGACATCAGTTTCACAATCCAGTCTTTCGGCACGCCATAAACCCAAATGAACCCCATTTGGCTTCACGGATCTTAAACCGTGAGCTTGTTTGCTCTGTTAGAAGTTTCTCAGTCAGCCATAAACAGAAACAAATTCGGCTTGGAATGCAGGGACTCTGTGGGAAACGAGTCGGTCTTCCTGTTTCTGATGTCGTTCATGGGAGTTTAGGCTGGAACGGAGAGTACTACTTATGTGCAGCTTTAAAAAGCAACTTGTTTCGGTACAGAACAGTGTCATTTGTATGTGTCTCAGGAGAGAGAGATGGAGAATAAGAGCAGGGCTCTTGAAGAGGAGAGGAGACGGCGAGAAGAGCTAGAAAAACGGCTGCAAGAAGAAACCAGCAGGAGGCAGAAACTCATCGAGAGAGAGGTGAAACTTCGTGAGAAACAGAGAGCACAGGTGAGTTCTGTGCTAAGACATGCATTGCTATTACTCGTATTTAACTTAAAGATTTGAACACATTTTTGTAACTCACCCCATAACATCACAGACATGAGTGAAACCCAAAGCCACATAGCAACATACTAAACCACTCAGAACAGATTATCAACCTCATAACACTAGAAACTACATGGAAACATGTTAAAACACTCAGAACAGATTATCAACCTCATAACACACTAGAAACGACATGGAAACATGTTAAAACACTCAGAACATATTAGCAGCCACATAAGAGCTAACTAAAAAAAATCTAGTTTTAACAAATACTTAATGTCCTATACTGTATGTGACCCTGCCACAGTCTCGTCCCCTCACACGCTACCTACCTGTAAGAAAGGACGACTTCGACCTTCGTGGCCACATCGACTCGGCCGGCCACAACACAGAGACTTGTTACCACGTCTCCATCACAGAGAAAACCTGCAGGGGCTTCCTCATTAAGATGGGCGGCAAAATCAAAACCTGGAAGAAGCGCTGGTTTGTCTTCGACCGTAACCGCAGGACCCTGAGCTACTATGCAGGTGAATTATTTTTATTTGTTTATTTTTTCCTTCACGTATTCACTCCTGAAGTTGGTCGATTGAAATGATATCAGTATTGATTTTTATACTTTTTGTACGGTTTCAGATAAACACGAGGCCAAACTGAAAGGAGTGATTTATTTCCAGGCCATAGAGGAAGTATATTACGACCACTTAAAGAGTGCCCACAAGGTACTTTTCCTCTGCAACTGATAATTATCAATATAATAAAAAAAGTTAAAATAATTAAAATATTTAAGCACAATCATTTTAATATTTAAATGTTCTTTTAATGTCATTTCAAATTTAGCTTAACATTTGATATTTTTGATTTGATAATTTATTGATATTATTAATAACATGTATTTTATGGAACATTTAAAATCATTAATAACAGCTAACATTGACATTTATTATGAAAACTATAAATGGCTAATGTTTTTAAAATAACTTTTAAAATAAAGTCAAGTCTATAATAAGATAATTATTGTTATTTATTATTTAATAAACAAGGATTAAAAATATTTATTAAACTTTTTTTTTTTAATTCAGGGGTGTCCAATCCTACTCCTGGAGGCCCACTGTCCTATAGAGTTCAGCTCCAACCCCATTTAAACACACCTGAACCAGCTAATAAAGGTCTTAAAATATATCCTAGAATCTTCTAGGCAGGTTTGTTGAGGCAAGCTGGAGCTAAACTCTGCAGGACGGTGGCCCTTCAGGGACCGTTTGAATGTTTCAGTGCTGTCCCCTAGAGGCCAAACTGTAATCTTACCCCTCTCTCCTCTCTTTCTCAGAGTCCAAACCCTTCACTTACGTTCAGTGTGAAGACTCATGATCGCATCTACTACATGGTGGCGCCCTCTCCAGAAGCTATGAGAATATGGATGGACGTTATCGTAACGGGGGCAGAGGGATACACTCAGTTCATGATTTAGATGTTGTCTGCCAGCAGAGAAGGAATAATATGTGCAGTGTTTGGACTTAAAAACCACTAGACTTGACCTGCACTCTTTCACATGCTGGTTTCAGTATTGAATCCCCCAAACGCTGAACTGATCTTATTATTTTTGTGTTCGTATCAGTTTTTCAATCTCAATCCACAGTATTGAAGCTTTTCTCTTCGCTGCCTTTATATATATTTTTTTATGCAACATGAGCTTTTGCTTGGCGGCCCAGAAGATGGAATGGAACACACATCCTATTATTTTGTGTGTATGTCGTACGGTATTTCGTCCGTCTGATTGTGTGCAGAGAGAAAGATGTGTTAAATGATATTTAGTGCCAGTGTGCCACGTTGTGTGTGGTCTGTTTGCTACCTTGTGTACAGGGCCTCAGGGACACACACATTATAATATAAACAGCTGTCAGCTGTTCTGCCAAAGATTAAATGCACACTGACCACACGCTATAGAGTTTATGTATAGATGCGTGTGTTGGTGTTTGCCAGTGCCTTCAGTTCTATATTATACTGATATATGCCTTTATACTCCACATTCAGATTAATCAAAGGTGCTATAAGACACGCATTTGTGGCTATTTTAACACTACAGTTATTCGTTACAAAAGTCTCACAACTTCCGAAACACTAAAGCTGCTTGCCGTTCAGGTATTACACAGGATAAAACATCTTCGCTGCCTTTATATATATTTTTTTATGCAACATGAGCTTTTGCTTGGCGGCCCAGAAGATGGAATGGAACACACATCCTATTATTTTGTGTGTATGTCGTACGGTATTTCGTCCGTCTGATTGTGTGCAGAGAGAAAGATGTGTTAAATGATATTTAGTGCCAGTGTGCCACGTTGTGTGTGGTCTGTTTGCTACCTTGTGTACAGGGCCTCAGGGACACACACATTATAATATAAACAGCTGTCAGCTGTTCTGCCAAAGATTAAATGCACACTGACCACACGCTATAGAGTTTATGTATAGATGCGTGTGTTGGTGTTTGCCAGTGCCTTCAGTTCTATATTATACTGATATATGCCTTTATACTCCACATTCAGATTAATCAAACGTGCTATAAGACACGCATTTGTGGCTATTTTAACACTACAGTTATTCGTTACAAAAGTCTCACAACTTCCGAAACACTAAAGCTGCTTGTCGTTCAGGTATTACACAGGATAAAACATACTCTGTTTAGAATTATACTACACAAAGACTAGGTTTTTAGTATGTCTTATAATACTTGATCATTTTATCATCATGCATATGTAACTTTTGCATTTTTATGAACTGTATTCAATGCTTTTGGCCTGTTTTCAGGCTATGATTACTTGTATTTAGTTTGACATCATCAGAAAATGATCATTAAGAAGATAATTAAGCTTCAGTTAAAGCCAGTACTGCAATACAGCATGTACTTAATTTCCTAGTTTGTGTGGTTTTATTAGTTCAAGTCCAATCAGACTGAATTTGAGATGTCATTTCATTACCACCAGCAGGAGGCGACAGCCATGCGGAAAATGTTAGCCATAAGCTTTTATCTGTGAATTAGCCAGTAGTCTGTTTTGAATATTGTTAATACTCATTTGAGACCTATATTTATACTTTTGTTTACCATGCATGCACCTTTATTTTTGCATATGTATGTCGTTTATGATCTCTGTCTACTTGATAAACCTTTGACTATGTCCTGAGAGTATATAGTCGTCCATCTAGACATATTACCTCGTGCCCCGCAGGCAAACAAGACACGCTGGACCGAAATCAATTTAAGGATTTGAGTAATAACAGGGTGGTGAGTAGATTAGTCAGTTTGTTCAGGATTACTGCATAGATTGAGTGTTCTTCCAGGTCTGATTACTTATAAACCCGTTTTGCACTCCAAAGGACGCTAGATAAACAGATGTTCTACAAATTTGAATATTTACATGCGCATAATCATTTAGGCCTAAACGTCCTCCGAGCAGGCGTGTGCGTGAGTATTGAGCCCTGCAGGCCTGCTCTAATTTTTCTTGTACAGCCTTGTTAGGATGTGAATGCTGGGTTTAGGTTGCCTGACATCATCCTTGCTATGATTAATGTCCTATATTTGGTTTTCTTATGTGGGAATGCTGTCCTTTACTTGTCCTTCATTTTGAGCGAATACTGTGTACGCAGGATTGTCCCGTGAGGAGGTGCAAACTCGAGCCAAGCAAATCATTTGTCAGATCCCTTTAAAACCGCACTTTCTAAGGAAGGTGTTTGGGCTGCGGTGTTCCCAATAAAGCATCCTGTTTCCATCTACGTCCTACGTCAATCATGTCCCTCTTTAGTTTCCCCCAATTTCTCCCTCCCGTTGTTTTGGCGAAATTTCTTTCATAGCTCTCCCTGCAATGAGATGTGTGTGGACACACTTTTGTGCACTCGCCTCTGGCGTGATAATAACATTAATGAATTGAACACATTCTAATATATTAGAGGGGGAAGGACCCCATGTTGTCAAGCGTCGACCTGTCTAAGGATAATTGATGCCGGAGAGATTCCCGCTCAAATGCACTTACGCGGTGACGTCTGTCCTCAGAGAATACACATACAGACAGGACATTTTCCTTAGGGTAACTTGATCCCGAGGGAGTTTCCACATGCATTTAGACCCCCGTCTGCAGATTTGCGAATGGCATTAGGCCTCAAAATACACCTCCTTTGTACACAAACATGATGTGTGTCCGAAAAGTGTCCAATGTACGCACACTTCAAAATCTCGGTAGAAGTAGTAGGACATCTGGGTACTTTTCACCTATTTTTCTGCAAACACAAATTTGGACATAAATACTAATTTCACACAGTTTTTTGCCTACTATATTGTGCGTTAATATTCATTTTCGGATACAGAGCTGTACTCGAAATGCATCATGTTTAAAGATTCAATTATCAATTCATTTCTCAGTACTAATGTTGATTTATCTTGCAATCCCAAGTGTTTATCAATTTTTCAGTGTCCGATCAAATGCTGTCTGGAATGAGAATGTCCCTCCCCCAATATCCCACCTATCTCTGACTAGCAATAGCAAGTCATTATTCAGTGTTTTCATGTAAATTATAGCTCAAAGTTAACTTTTTTTAGTTGTAAGTTAACACTAATGTTCACAGCCCAACAAATACCTTTTCAAAGTACACTTCGCATAAACACAGGAGCTCGACACAAGCAAACTAGAAAGTTTCGTCCTCATTCAGTGTCTGTGCTATTTCTCCCCAGAAGTTATTACCAATAAAAATGCTGTTGTACTGGTTTAGAGTTGAGAGTATTCGGTAACCCCCTCCCCTTGCACTTGTCTATCGTCGGTCAGGACAGTGTTGCCACCTTGTGGGCAAATTAATTCGTGCAAAACAATTGAAGGTGCATGTTGCAAGTTGAACGTAAATAACATCTTTGTGCGTACATCACATGTACACATTCACTTAAGATACTTCCTTCATTAACTTCCTGTTTCAAAAGGAAATATGTCAATACAGGATACAACAAAACTGCTCATCAAACCATTTCATGAGGTTTTTGTGGTCAGATACTTGAATCTTGCTAGTTACTTGAATCATAAAACAATTGAATAATACAAACATTCAAAGGTTCTAAACTTCTATTGCCTGCTATTGGAGTTTGTTACCTTTGCAGTAATGCAAGAATGCATGCTGTGTGCAGGGCCGGATTTATTCATAGGCATTCTAGGCACGTGCCTATGTTTGCTCGTCCAGGGGGGCTCAAACACAATGAAGAGATATATATAATATTTTTGTTATACTATGGGCTATCTACAACAGTAAAAAAACCAAAACCCCAGAAGACATTGAGCAAATAAATATAACAAACAATAGGGTAAAAAATGACAAACCATTTCCATGTCTTCCACCTTTTTTATGTAGGCTACGGAAATCACACTTTCTTTCTCCCGTTCTCTCTCACAGACGCACACACAGTGCAGACAGGCTCTCGCGCACACATGTGGAGACGTGAACAGAAACTTCTTGTCAGCGCTGCACGGCAAATTTATCAATAAAATAGTTTCGCAGCTGAAAAGCTACATGACATTTCTCAGTAGCAAGGTTCTTGAAGCAGTTTAACTTAAAGATTCGCTATTAGTAGAGGCTGCTGAGAGACGCATATACGCAGGTATTCACACGCACTTAATCACTATTTCCCTTTCTCTAATAACCGCATTAGACTGCATTAATAACTGCATTAGCCTGCATATCAATGGCGTTATTAGCTCTAAAATGACGTTTTGGAATTTGCAACGGAAGGTTTGGGATGAGGTGCGTAAAAAATGAGTTCAACACACGAAATGTCAAATGTCCTTGAAACAAATCATCTGAACAATGTCTTGATGTGTTGCTGTGACTCCAGGCCGTTAAAATTATTAGAGAAATAATGCACTCCCGAAGTGGTTATGTGGCCACGACGCCGCGCCTATATGGAACGGTCTTTCTCAGTTCTCAAACAAATTAAGAACTACATTCGATTTTCATTGACTGAACGCACGTGCTTATTGCGATAGAAAACACTGTAATGGTTTCCACTGATTAAGAAATATTTTTGTTTGCTTGGGTGGTAATATTAGGCCTATTATAGCCTATTAATAGGGAAGGGGGGCCAAAAATTTGTTTTGCCTATGTCATGAAAAGAGGTAAATCCGGCCCTGGCTGTGTGTGTACAACAAAACCACACACTTGGTAGCATTTGCATACTTATTTGACTATGTTTTGGGCGTCAGGATAGACACTGACAGCTTTGTGAGCTCTTGAATGACATCATTCCTGAGCCTGTGACTTTCACTCAAATCATAAATATTTAATCTGGCTTTTTTAGTTAATGGAAGAAGGCACATTACGCTTTAGCGGGTGAAATTACAGGTTAGAGACTTGCGCTTGGTAATGACTCAATAGTGTCAGAGGCGTCACAGCTGCTGTTTTGTGACTGCCTTGTCTACTAACTTGAGGCAGTTCATCAGCAAGTGAACTTGACCTCAGGCTTTTGTGTGTGAAGCAGCCGTTTCGGGTTTGGGTTTGACTCAGTGGGGGAGGGTCTACGGTTAGTAAATGTACGTGTAGAAGGAGTGTAATTTAGCCCCACCTTTGTTTTTTTGCGTTTTCATGGTGGTCCACATATATGGTGGGGAGCCCAGCTGGTGTCCAGCTGCAGTGTCGGATAAGCATTTCCCTGTCCTGTCCTGTGTGGGACCATGATTGTGTTTGATTGGTGTCTGCTGAGTGGGGCTTTTCTGTAGAGAAAGTGATTAAGCACATACAGGGCCGTCCTTAGCTGACACAAGGCCCAGTGTGAGGTAGGGAGCGGGGCCCCCCTCGGGGTCCAGCTTGGCTCCCTTTGAAATATTGCCCATATTGGACACTATGAGCTAAACAGACAGCTAAACTGATTTGTGTGTGGAAAACACCCTGTCCTTTTATGTTTATAAATACTTCAATACATTTTACAATATAGGCTAATTTATGATAATTTTATGTTAAAATCTTAAACTTCTACTTCCAATCTTAAAGCATCCAGAATTAGAATTAACATTTATACTGTTTTTCAAAGAAAGTGTCACAGTACCTATTGTGGAGCAATATATATAATATTATATTTTTAATATATTTTTTATTTATTATGTAAGATACACAGAAAGATCGACAAACATCG